AATATATGAAAAAAGTTGAATAAATTAAAAATATCATAATTTGATAAATATATAATTCAAAAATTATTTGCGTGATTTTTCTTTTCAGTTCGGCGTTCTAATATATGATTTTGGGTTGTATCTCTTAAAAATTAATATCCTATGATTTTAAATTTTGTTAATCAGTTATAGATTATACATACAATTCGCAAAAGAATTATATGTATAGTATACTGATGTTTATTTTTACCAACCAAATCTCCAAATCTACATACAATATTCACCGCATTTTAATTACAATTTTTTTATTGAGAGCACGTATTTAATTATTCTTTTAAATAAATACATGAATTTGTAAAAACATGAATTCATCATTTGTGGCAAGCTTTATTGTCATCTTCAACACCTAAGATCTTTAAAAGAATCACCGTTTGTCGGTAAAAAAATTACCACTGATTGTCTTCTATTCTATTTTTTGTATGTAAATGATTTTTTATTTATTGAAAAATTATTTGCTATTAAATTTTTTCTTTTAAAAGAAATTGAAGGGAACCCATCACTATATTTATCGGCAATAAAAAATGGTAATTTCATTTTTTTAAATTTCACATAAATTGATTTTCGATGAATCCAATTTTTAAAATCATATAACTCATGCTATATCTTTTTCTTTGCACATTTATTTGCAACTATATTAAATTCGTTTCGTTTAACCTTGAGTGATTACTTTATAAAGATTGTTATATATCAGAGATTTGCAGACCCGTTCTAAATTCTGACCGGGCCATAAAATAATTTGATTTTTTTAATATAGATTTATTTGAAAATGTTTATATTTTTTTTACTAGACTAGGCCCTGCCAAAAATCAGGCTAGAAAATATTTCTTTAAACTGAATACTGAAATTACCTGTGCAAGCTTCGACTATTACGGTATTAAAGAATTAATAATGATCAAATATAATACAACCCTAATTAATGCATTATCAAAACATCCATTTTTTTTTGTCAAAATGACTTTTGGGGATTTAAAAACAAAAAATTGAAGAAAACTAGAATAAAAAAAATCAAAATCTTATTTATGCCTTACCACGTTTTTGCAACTTGCAAAAAAACATGATAAAAATTTTTGTTAAAATGAATTACACATTTTTTTAATATTATACTATTTCTTAGAAATTTTTTTTATATTTTATTTATACAATTTAGTATATATATTCCTTTGACATCGAACATAATAAGTATATTGGGACATTTGATAAGATAAGAAATTTAAATAAATCTTATTAAAATAAAATTTATATAAACAGAAATTTTTTTGAAAATATGACTTATCACTAGCAGGCTTAGAAAAACAATTAAAATTTACTCATAAGATGGCTTGAATTTGAGTAGTTGAGAAAATAACATTAAAATATATGAAATAAAAGTTACGAGAATTGGGTATTAGCTGAACTGGAAATTCTGTGTAATTATAAAAGTTGTTTACAATCCTGAAAAACTTTTAAGCTAAATGAGTCGATCTTATATTAAGAGTTTAGATTGAATTTTTAACAAATCATTTGACTATTTGCAATATTTTTTACCATTTTCTAGAAATGATATTTTAAAATTACAAATTTATTTTAATAATTTCACGAATATACATTGATCATACTACAATTATTATAGCTAGCATAAAATATATAAATAAATACCCCCTTCCTTACCTTACTCTAAAAATGATAAATTAGATTTGTGATAATATGAAAATAATTTATTATTAAAGACCCCAACTGATTATAATATGCAAATCCCAGTTTTAAAAGACCCCCTTTTTTTACACGCTTAATGAATATTAAAATTGCCATTAATGGCTAAGACTTTATATAATATTATATAATTTATTGGTTCGATATTTTATTAAAAAGAAATTTTATTTATTAAAGCCCGTTACCAACAGTGATTTTTTAAAATAATATATAAATCATTCGATTGATGAACAATTATAAAACCCTTAAAATCTCATATTAATATTATTAATAACCTTTCTTTCAAATTAAATGGGTTGTCATGCTCATGTCAATTAAGCCAATAGATAGTGTATGCCTTTTTACGTCGGTAGAATTTTAATTGAATTATATAAACAACAAAATGATGGGGTTTTTTTAAACAATAATTTTTATATTTTATCTATCTTATTCATTTTAAAAAAATTAAATTTTGTATAAAATGGACTTCTCTAATTTGAACACTATTGTTAAAGCAAAACTTGACTTAATTTTTTTAACCCATTAATGATCAGCATCAACATATATGGTACAATTGTGATTTATAGGTTTTTGAGATCTAATTTTTTGTTGCAAAGTATGCTTTTTATAGTTCGGAGATTCTATTATGCTATAAAAAAATTGGAAAATATTTATTTTTCAGTGCTATAAATGCCATCAAATTTTGTTAAATACTAAATGTTCTAGACTCTCCAGTTGATATAGAACTCATTTCTTTTTAAATGGAATGAATATAAATTTATTCCTTACATATGCCTTAACATATTCTATATAATTTTGGTCCATAATTCTATCTATACTATATAATGTACCATATTTGGAATGTCGATTAAATAGTAGTATAAAATTTTTTTTAATGATTATTTCCTCATGTAATCATAAATTTTTTCTTTTATAAAATTATTTCTACTATTCATGTTGTTTTTATCCTTAGGTTTCGTTAATTAAAAAAATTTTAAATTATCCGTTTTGTAAATATCAATTTAAAATTTTTTTAGAATTAGAATAACTTTATGGAAAAACTATTACTAATAGTCGATGAAAACTAATCCAACCTTCTTTGAGAAATCCTTAGTGTAGTGATGAAACGGAGTTAAATAATCATGCCTCCTATCTAAATGCTTTTGGAAGCTTTTATATTAACTAAAACGCCTTAGATTTTTCATAACTGAAACCTTAAAAAAATTTTTTGGTTCCCCTAGAAACAATTTAAATGATAATTTATTTACATCATTATGCAGAACTCTTACGCCTCCTCCATGCAATGTTTTCACATTCTTCTTAATTTTTTTAAATTCAACCCTTATAAATTTATATAATTCAGAATGGCGTTGATTTGTTCGACATTATAGTGTCAACATATATAATAAATATATAAGATTAAAAAAATGGTGAACTATTTTTTTTTTATTGATGTTGCGATCATAAATTCTTGAAAATTATCAAATAGAACTAATTTTGATAGTTTTTTTAAAATAAAAAAACATTAAAAAATATTATAGTCTATATATATTTGCAATAAAAATAAAAACTATAATAGGAATATTATATTAATCATAAGTGTGTATTAGTAAATTTTAGTGTTTCAACCGGTTTGGTAGATGGTTTAAGGAAAAACGCATTATTAGCAAAATAACAAAAAAATTCAAAATTGGCATCATGTCAGAATGAAAATTATAGAAGTGCTGAATATCTGGGTACGCCTTATTATTATTAAAAAAATATACATAAAAATGGATTTCTATTTTATTTATAAAAATAAATGATTTTAGATTAACATTTTTAAAAATTTTACATTTTATTTTTGTTTACAAGGCCATTTAATATCGGATCGGAAAATTTTATAATATTGACCGATAACCGATATTTTAAAATGGGTGAAATATCGGCCCGATCTGACCCGTTAAAAATATCGGTACATCCCTAATTCCAATGTATTCAATATTAAAATTAGTGATTTGGCACGCCCCCGTTTATTAAGCCCCAGTCTCCCCTATTTGTAATGTAAAATTAAAATTGTATAAAATCAGGGGTGCATTCATAGTTAATGCCACACATGGCTCTCTAGAAGGTCCTTATTCCACTGCGATCCATGAAAACATTAAATTGATAATATTTATATGAATTATTTATTTTTATGTCGGTATACACATAATTGTATTTTATATAATGTTGACATATGACACTTTTGGTAAAGATAAAATTAAATATCATTTTGATACCTTGGAGATGAATAATCTATGAAAGGTATTTTTTTTTATTTAAAAAATAAAACTGTTTAATTTTACATAATAATTTTTAATTAAAAATAATATCATATTTATACATAGAATGTATTATTCTATCATTAATCGATAAAAAAATTTAAAATTTTATGAGAATTTCATAATAAAAAATTTTTTTAAATTAAATTTTATTAATAAATTTATAAAAAATTTGAAAATATTATATTTATTTTGAGACCGGGATAAGCGAATTTCAATATCTTTCAACGAGTAACCCTGCATTTACAGTTAGCACGAATTCACCGCGAAGTATACAAAATATGCGGTATTTTTATATTCTTCGCCGCGAATCTTTAGGGTTTCGAAATATGTATTTTTGTGCACTACATAAATCATAGATTTTTTGAAGGATGGGTCCACTAGCAGATGTAGAGAAATGTGCATTTCTTAAAATGTTAATTTTTGTTATTTTTTTTGTTTTGATCAAAATATGGACAATTGTAAAAGGCTTATTCGTGGGCTCTTTTAAGTGCATCCACTCAAGGCAATTTATACATATACTCCCCCCCCCCTTTTTAATTTCCCCTTTCTCTAAATTCTTAGTCATGTCAAGTCTTTCTTTATCTCATTCTTAGAGGAGAAGAGAAGTAAAGAGAGGCCCTATTACAGGATTACTACTGCTGTATAAAAATGTTAACTTTTCTAGATATGCTTAGGAAAAGTTCACTATATCATTTATAATAAGTGAAACTAATAAGATGAACAATCAAAGGAAGTTTTTGCATAGATTAAAGATATATATTTTGGTTAGGAGACGCCGGATCCACTATATTTATTTGAAAATCACTCTCTGCTCTTACTTTTTAATATCTGTACTTTATCGAGTTAAGGAATTGAGTAAGTCATAATTTTAGGTCTTTAAAATAACAAGCGTAATAAAAATTTTAAAGTAAATGCGATCATAATAAAATATTAGTATTTAAAAATAACAATTTATAATATGGTTAAAAATTAAAAAAATATATTTAGCTTGCAAGTGTAATTTACATGCCAAGAGATGCCAATTTAACATGGAGCTTTACAAATTGTCTGGGGGTAAAAGCGGAGGAGTCTGCATAGGATGTAGGCATAGTACCGCTGGTCGACATTGTCATTACTGCAAAGAAGGTTATTATAGAGATCCAACCAAACACATTACTCATAGAAAAGCTTGTAAAGGTATTAAATATATTTCTTGCTGATTAAGATAATGCACATTAATTTATTGGAGTAAAATGCTCATATATTACCTTACCTTAGTGATATTTTTACAGAGAAAAGTTTTAATATTAATCGTGATGTCTTGGGAATTAACTGGATACTTTAAACGAGAAGGGTAGTCATATTTTTCAGCCCAGAAAATGGCCCTCTCCAATTTTCTCTCAGCCGAAGATTGTCTCATTCATCTCCAGATAAGGTCGAAGGCCGCTTTTCCCAATTCCTCTCTAACACAAGATTTGCTCCCGGGCGAGGACCATCCCTTTTTCTCAAAACCGAAGGCAATCCCCCTCCTCTTAGCCAAATGTCGGCTTATTTTTTTTATCCGGCGGGCAGCGAAGTCCCTATTATAATACATAATTCTTAATATTCCTAATCATTTTATTCTAAAATGAAAATAAATATAGAAATTCTTCAAAATATTTTTAAAAAATATTATTTAATTTTTATAGCTTGCGATTGTCACCCAGTAGGAGCCTCGGGTAAGACATGTAATCAAACCACTGGACAGTGCCCTTGTAAAGATGGGGTAACAGGAATAACTTGCAACAGATGTAGCAAGGGTTATCAACAAAGTCGTTCCCCTATTGCCCCCTGTGTCAGTGAGTGAATATCATTATATGCATTATTTATAAAATATTCTCTTCAAATATTTTACGCATGTAAATATGACAAATATTCTTCATTTATATCATGTTTAAATATTATGAATAAAATTTATTTAAAACTATTGATAAAAATATATATTTAAATTATTCCTAGTTATTATTAGCTTTATTTAATAATTAATGATATAATACTAGTTAGACGTATTACAAAAATATTTCACCCTCACAAAACAAAAATTTGCATGCCCCCTCTCCCTCATATTTCGAAACCTATTAAGGCTTAACAACTTAGCTTGTCACCCTAGGCGGGGTTGTCTTTTATACCTCTATTTTTGATTAATTATTTTATGCAAGTTTTAACACATAAAATAAAAAATAATATTAAATCAAATTTGCTTAATTTATGATAATGTTTATCAAAGAATTATGTTATATACATTTAGCAATTATAAATACCTCTCTAATCAAATATTTGATATTTTTATAGAAATCCCTCAATTTGATTCAAGATACGATAGTGATAGAGATTATAACACTGATTCTTGTAAATACTATTTTTTTAAAAATTTGATTAATATCATTGATTATATATATATATTTTTTTATTAAAACTTAAATAAAGATTCTTGCAAAGAATGCAAGGCTTCCAATATGAAAGTGAATCAAAAGAAATTTTGTCGCAAAGATTTTGGTATTTTATTTATAGATATAAATTCTATAATATATACTTTTTTTAAACGAGACCATAATCGTGATCCAGTCTTATATTGATTGAGAAATCACACCACTTAAGTTTATTATAAAAACCCTTCTTGATGTCTTGAAAATTTAGAAACAATTTTATAAAATCCGCATTTTTTTTAAAACATCTTAATTATAATTTTATAGAATTTTCAATAACATTTTTAATATGTTATCATTAATAGATTATATAGGAAGCCCTAAAAATAAAGAATGTGGAGATGGGGCATCTATGACTCAATTTATTATATTTAAGTTTACATTTACCATCCCTATCGTCAAAAGTTAAATTATTTTGTTGAGACTATTTTTTTTAAAAAAACTTTCATGTTCATGGAAATAGAAAGAAATGAGTATTACTTATACTAATCATATAATATATGCATCTTTTAAAACACTGATTTCTTTTTTAAAAATTAGCAATTCAAGCGAGAATATTATCTAGAGAATCAATAGGTCCTTGGATAAGATACACGGTATATTTGATGAAGATATTCAAAGGAAGGGCTTTTAAGCTTAAACAAAAGGAAGAATATCTTTGGATCAAAGAAAAGGTTTCTAAGTTATTATGATTATTTTAAAATATAAAATCACCGAAATGCGATCACTCCTCAAAGACGATTTTTATATGTCATTCATTTTGTATACTGTATTGAGATTGGTATTTATATTTAATTGGTTTAAACTTGAATGGTCATTTTAGGAAGAGGATGAATATGTTTTGTAGAGTTGAATGACAATCTTTAAAGTACACATATTAGAAAAAAATATTTTTGGAACCAAAATTTTAAATATGATATAAAATTTATTTATTCCGGTAAGGTTTTTTATAATATTAGTTCACTCTTTCCCATAACAGGTCTTTGCCCTTATATAGTTTAAAGTAGTCTAGAACGGTTTGAAGATCTGACCATTATCAATGGTTCTAGGTCTATTGGTAACAGTCTTGAGCCTCTTAACTACAATTTATATCCTATAATATTTAAAAATTCATGAAATAAAATTAAAGCACGTAACTTGCAAGTGTAGGCGTTTAAAGTTAGGAGAAAAATATCTTCTGTTAGGACATGTTTCAAGAAATTCTGAACGTCCTGGACTCGTCATTAACAAGAGAGGTATCGTTATTTTATGGAAAGAAGATTGGAGAACACGCATGCGTCATCTTAAGAGAAGAGAAAGAATTTCTAAAAGTTGCTGAGATTAAATACTATCTAGATTATTGACATGAAGATGAATATATAATTTATTTTGGATATTTAAGTTTGAAACAAAGATACATATTTTGTTTGCATTTGCTGCCATATAAATACTCGTCAAAATCAATCAAATCTAATTATTATAGTGTGATAAATAAAAGTGCCACGTTTTATTTTAACTCTTATTATAAAAAGAACTCCAAATTATCCATTCTGGTTTTCAAATTTTACGCCAATTTGTATTTATATTATAACTGTATTAACGTGCTTATATAATATGTTATGCTGTATTATTATGAATATTTTTTTCAAATAATATCTTTAAAAATTTTTTTTTTCCCCTTCTATTTATTTTTGAAAATCAATTATCTTAACTCAGTCAATTCTTACTCCCTTACACAGTGAATATGTGCAAACAATTTGATCAAGTAATCATATTACATTCATTAAATCGCGTTTAACTTTAAAGCCAAAATTTTAAGTTATTCATTTTACACAATACCTTATGAGGAAAAAATAATATAATATATATATAAGCTGTCTAAGATATCTAATTAGATGTATCTTTAAAAAGGAATCTTTTATTCGTCGTGCTCAATTTTGATATTTATATTCATTAAAATAAATTTATGTACATTTTATTTATTAAATCAAAAAAAATTTAAAATCGTATTTCAATACTCAGATCTGTACAACTCTATTATAGATAAATATTCTTCTCCTTATAATTTTATTTTAAACATTCATCTTCAGCGATACCAAATAATACAATAAAAACTAAATAATATATTAGATATATTTAAAAAAAAGGGAATTAATTCAGTTATTCAAAGAAATTTAATTGGTTGAACCATGAAATTATTTTGCAAGTTCATGGGAATGTATACTCAAAACAAAAAATGGATATAATTTTTTATTGTGCGAGGATTTAAAAACTCAAATTTTAACCTTGTAGTATTTTTAGGGCTATATTAGAAAGATAACGCCTAGTAAGTATTGTTTAAAATAGATGTTTCCTAACTTGCTCAAAAATAAGATTATTTCTAGAATAAATTATTTGTGTTTAAGTTATAAATATAAAACTTCATATAAATATGTCACAATTAACCTTATAAATATTACAGTGTCCTGATTAATCTTATTTTTCGAATTATTTCTGTTTAACCTTGGTCTTAACAGATTTTGAACTGGAACACCCAATTTAGGTTTGTACATTAAATAGATATTATTTTTTATAAATATATCTTTTCCGTGCAAATAAACTATCATATATAAATCTAAGGAGTCTCTTTCTTTTTAAGCTGTTTAGAGGAAGTCATATAGACGGCTAAATGGACGACTGTTTAGAAATAAGACGAACCAGAATACAGCCTATTAAATTATTTATATCCACTAAATTTTTTTCTTTACTTAGTCAAATATAAAAAAAAATTATCAATGACAATGTGAACTAGGGGTGTTGCTAGATTTTTATAAAAAGGGACACTAAAAGATGCTAATTTTTTAAAATAAGTATTTATAAATTTATTTGCTCTATTTATATATTATTTTCTGGGGGGGGGGGGCATTTAACTATAATTAATTATAAACAAGATTCGCTAATCAATATAATATCTAATACAAATGTAGAATCTAACTCAATTGCTTTATACCCTCATAACAATAAAAATAAACCATAATATCCAAAAAAATGAAAAATAACAAGTATGTACTTTAATTTTGTTTTTTCAGAAAAATAAAATTAATTCAAAAATGAAGATTAAATTAATGTGAAAAACCCCAACTTTTTGTAAAATCAGCGCAAAAAATGAATATATAATAAATTTAAACAACCTTAACGTATTCTATGTATTAAGTTTTATTTTATTTTGATGTGTAGGATCATCTTATAAAATAATAATTTTATAAAAAATTATAAAAGAATATATATCTTTCTATATAAGTCATCATCTTAATTAATCCTATAGATTACACATTTAAAAAAAAACACTAAAACATAGAATTTCAATAAAAAAAGATACACCTTTATAAATTTAGTCAGGTTTGAACATTCCATAATAAATAATCACTTTGCTTAGTAAGTACAAAGATGTTTCCATTATAATATGATCTAGTCAGACTAATGTAATCAACGATCAATATATCCACACTACTCTAACAAAATTGATAACATCCGCTATACTGATAAAAATATAAGGGAATTAAAAAAGTTTTTTAAAATATTTATGAAATTTTTTTTAAATATTATATTTAAACAAACATTTAACAATGATAAAATAATTATAATATAATAATAAATTGTGCATAAAAAAGTAACGCGTTTCCTTAATTCTATATTTGCTTCCATCAATAGCTTTGGAACCAACATTACAAACCCGAAATTGATGAAATATTATATTGGTTCTAAAATATAAATTTACCCGATATCATTTATTTCTTTTTTGTTATTAGAATTGGTTTAAATTCAAACTATTAGTAAATTAAAAGAATAGAAATAGTGATTTTAAAACATTAATTGTATCTTTAAATAAACATGGAAAAAATACTATGAAGCTTTATTATTTTAAAAAAAAAACTATTCGAGATTTTTTTAAACAATTTTTTAGATTAGGATTCAAAATCCTGAAAAAACGAGAAGATTAAAAATATTGATTTAATCATAATTTTTTTTATAAATAACCGGATACCAAACCAATCAGATAAAAAAGTAAACATATTAATTTTGAAACTTTTAATTTCATACAAAAATATAACAAAATGTCATAAAATACAGTGCTAAAGATTGATAGTAATTTAATATAAGGAAAATAATTAAATGCGTAAATTTTTAGGCATAGGCAAGCTTGAATAGTATGTTCATCAAGTGAACAACGTTGATCTGTTATATATCAGTAGATTTTAACAAGTATTTAAAATATTGTTTTACTCGATTTTATTTTGTCGAATTTTAGTAAATCTTTTAAAAAGATATTTCCAAGCTATTTAACTCTAACTGGTATTATTGTTGAAGGGAAATAGGGCTTGATTAACTTATGACGGAAGAATTAAGCTCCGTACGCTACGGTAATTTGTTAATACAATCCTTAATGCAATAAAGAAATTTTGGTAAAAGGATACTAGCCTATGAGAAAACTATACGTCCCAAAATATTGAATTCGCCTTTCAATATGGTATAAATCGAAGCTTTTCGTTCATATAATTGGGTAACCTAAATATCCCTATCATTTTTATGACGGAATTTTCTGCCAAAACCTCTCAATTTGGGAAAAGAATACTCTGTACCTTTTTTATATTGAAATAATTGTATAAAGGAAGCTCAAATTATCTCGAGTAGTTGGGAAGTTGTTAAAATCGTTTTTCGAGATTGAATCACAAACTGGCTAGAGGATTAATTTTTAAGTGGCTAACATTCTGTAAATAGGGTTATGACCAGGGATGTGAACCACGACCCGGACCCTCCAGAACCCTCGTATTTTGGCTGAATCCGCACCCGGAACCTTTTAAAAAGTAAAGGGTCCAAGGTTTCAGGTTAAAAAATTTTTATTATAATTTTATTAATTTTTTTTGTGGAATCATTTATTTTATCTTCGCGTTTTTCTTCCTGGACTTCATTTCATTTTATTTAGAGATTGATATTGATACCATAAATTATTTTCTAGTGTAAATAATATTTTATAATGAATAGATAAAAATACAAGCAAAAATAATAAAAGAAACAAAAACAAATTAATTTCATTAAAAATTGATTCCGCCCAAAGATTAGGGAGAAATATTATAGGAATAAATATACAGAATATAAAAGGAAATAATATAATATTAAGAAGTTAGCTATGAAGGAGATTAAAGAGAGTTCAACTTCTGAAAATATAAAAACAATGATATTAGAAACATTAAATAAATTTCATATTCCTATAAGAAACGTTTATATACTACGGATGATGGTGCCAATCTAGTAAAATCAATCATATTATTAGAATGTTCACTGGAAGAAATGGATGATATAGATGATGATAATTATGAGGACATAAGTGAAATTGATTTACTGGAAATAATAAAAGATTTATCCACAAAAATATACTGTATCAGATGTGCAGCCCATACGCTACAATTGGCTATTAATGATTCCCTAAAAAATAATCACTTTAAAACTATTGATAAAGCAAGGGATGTTGTAAAATATTTAAGAACTCCCACAATTGTAAGAATATTAAAATCTATGAAAAGGCAATATTAGATTGCACAACACGTTGGTCCTCTATTTGTTTGATGCTAGAGCTATTAATAAGTTTGAAAGATTTCTGTAATGATTTTATTATAGGAGCATGTGAAGTCATTTTGTCGGAAGATGATTGGAATTAAATAAAAGACCTTACTAGTATGTTGGTTCCTTTAAAAATAACTACATTAAGATTGCAAGCAGAACAGTTATGTTTATCGGATTTTTATGGCATATGGATAAGATTTAGATTAGAGTTAGAAAGATTTACAAGTTCTTTTTCATATGAAGTATTAGAAAATATAAAAATTAGATAGCAACATATGCTTCAATATATTTAGACCCTCGATATCAAGTTTTATTAAGTATTGAGCAAAAAAAAATGGCTATAGACCATCTTGAGGATTTATGGCATACCCAAAACTTATTTACAATACTGGTTGTAGCGATAAATGATAACAATATTGATGATCTGGAAATTTTACTATTAGATAGAGAAAAAAATAATTAAATTATCATTAGATAGAAAGGAGCATAAAATATCTATTGTATCTTTAATAGAAAAGTTCTCAGAAGTTAAGAGAATAAATAGAGATACAAATATTTTAAAATTCTGGGAGGAAAATTCTTCAATATATCCAGAATATACCTTGTCTAGAATAGTCATGGGTGTACCGGCGACACAAGTTTAATAATTTATGTATTATAAAAATGACAATCTATTTTGAGTAGGTGGATTTTCATCGTTGAAATATATATTATCAAATTTACGTGGAAATCTGAAGATGATAGTTTAGAAGATATCATGATTCTGCGATTGAATAAAATATTTAAAATATAATTTATTTCATTTTGAATTATGAATGTGTAATATTGAAATATAATAAAAAATGAATGAAAAAAAAGTTTTATTTTGAGTCATTATTTTTATGTTCACTGAACCCGGACCCTGGACCCGGGTCCTTTTTAAATTTATTACTGGACCCGAACCCGGACCCTTTTTTTTGTCGAAGGGTTCACATCCCTGGTTATGACTAAATATTCATCTGGGTGCCAACTCGAAATTTAAGAAATCATATGAATCGCGTTAATTAGGTTGGTCGCAGTCAATGCACATGGTAGAAAAGACATTGCAATTTAAGTAAAGAGTGATGAATACGCGTAATTGTTAATTAGGTTTAAACTAGGTGTTTTCAGATATTTTAAATGCGATTGATATAGAATATTATTGTTGGGGCTCCCTCTGCTATTAGAAAAGATAAGACAAAAAAATTATGTCATAAATACTGATGTTTGACTTACAATAATAATCGCTAGTGTTCGTTCTCTAAATTAAATGTTATCGACAAATTTTAATGAAATATCTATTTACACAAAAAACTTTTCAATATTAATTTAAACAATTATTAATAAACAGTGTATTTTTTTATAACTTTAAGACGATTTTATTTTAAAACAAAAGATCAAAATTGAAAAATATCTTGGTATGCTAAAGAAAAATTATTTAGGTACTTTTCTAGTTAATTTTAAAATTTGATTATAAATTCTGTTTGAAAACAATCTGCTCCATATCCAAATAAAATGGTGACTTATTTATCAATATCGAACTTATTTTAGTAGGTCCAACCCGGTCTAAAAAAATTCAATTTTTTTAGGGTTCGAGTTCTACAAATCTATCAAATTCCCTAGCATGATCAGCTCAATCCGGCATGAAAATTAAGATTAAGTCCGGCAGGTCGATCGCCCGAATTTTTTTCAATTTGTAAAATGATTTTATTTTATATAAAAACTAACATTAATATTTTTTAAAAAGAGGTAAAAAATTTATTTATTTTGAATCAGCTGATGTAAAAAATATAGCTTTTTCGGCAACGTTAAATAACTTAAATTTACTTAAGTATGTTGGAAAAAGGTGCAAAGTTAATTAGGATAGTTTCTAATAAGCTAAAGGTGCTTTAAAATATAAGACTTTTTTAATAACGAATCGTAAACTCGACTTGAAAATCATATAAACTGCTTAATATTCATAGTAAATAGATTTTATAGTTTATTTGAGCAATATCAGTGGTAGATGGGGTTATAAGTCAAGATATGACATTACAACCTAATTTAATTTTAGAAATTTAATATTTGTAAAAATATTTTTTATGAAGTGCGAAATATTTGAAATTTATTTTCTATAAGCTGTTCTTTCGATAACTTAAATATTAAAAATCAAATATTAATTTTTTTAAATTTACAATATAGGGTTTTATATTAAACTTTTTAATCAGGCATTATCCAAAAAATATTCATATAACTTTAGTATATCTTTACATTTAAAATAAGTTTTTGTGACAATATATTTAATGAAAATATAAAAAATTAATAATAATGTTCGCCAATATAACTGTACAATTTTCATTAATTTACAAGTTTTGCCAAAATGAAAACTAATTTTTTTAAAAAATACATATCAAAGTCAAATGTTTTCTCCAATACAATCAAGAAAATCTTGAGTCATTAAGCTTAATTTCCTTATTTGATTTTCGTTCAAATCTGTTTGATTTATCATTTCAGGCAAAATAACAAATAACCTTAAAAATGGATCCAACTGAAGATAGTTTGATGGCTTAGAATTAATTCCATTTACATTAGGATCATTAGATTTAATATTATCATTTTGTTGAAGGGAGGTCGATTTAAACTTGTTGTAAAGCGCCTTTTCATTTTTGTAGAGCAATTTTTTGTCAAATAACTTGTCAAAATAGATCCTAAGCCCTCTGACAAATTCTAATCTTTCCTGTTCAGCAAGAATAAAATCTTTGATAGCATTTTTTTTTGTAAGAGATTCCTTATCATCCCTCACAATATCCACTTCTAAAGCTTCCGAAATATTAAGAGCTATTTCATCGTCATACAAATTTTGTAGAAACGAATCAAAATCTAGATCATCCATATTAGTAGATATTGGTAAAAGTCCATAAACACTTAAATCGGAGAATAATTTGGTATCCAGATACCATGATAGTATACCCTCTATAGTAAGATCTGTCAATTGTCTGGATTGTTGAGCTTTAGAATCTATGGTTAAATAGAAAATAAATTTGTAAGATCGTTTATATCAATAGGGAGCATAAATTAATTACTAAAAAATTACTTCAAATTTCAATTAATATTAGACCTGTCGATCCTATTAAAAAAAATAACTTCAATACGATTTTGTTACTTTTTAAAAAATTAGCATCATTACATGGATTTTTTACTTTAAAATTACAGAAACCATTACTATTAAGATTGACTAATTTATTCCTATTATGTCATCAATTGATATATCCATTATATAAATCTCCGAAAATAAATTTTTTTTATTAATATAATATTATAATCATTCTGTAAAAATTTTTTTTAAACAATTTTAATGGCCATGCTTGTCAAAATTTCAAGATCTCTATTGCATTTGAACACCGGTATAAGTACTGAGGATGGCAGGGGTTTATTAAAATATAATTTATATACTGTTTTAATATTTGACAGGTCTTCTTTTCTTAAGGTGTTTATCTTTATATAAAAGAAATTTTGATAGGCTACCATCCAATATATTCATCACAAATTTATTATCTTTTGAATGAGTTTGGGCACTAATTTTCTCCCTAAATGTATGATTAGGCGATCGAAAATTTTTCGATTCAAAATTTACAAATATCAAATAAAAAATTTTTGTAAATTTTATATTGAAACAAATGTAAATTTTAGACTATACAATATGCAGGAAAGGAAATAATAGCGTTTATTTTACATTTTGTGAGTGTCTATTTTTATCTATATTAATTACCAAAAAAAATATGACCCTAAAAATTTTTTTTTAAAACTTAAGCCTATTTTTTATAAATTAATTTTCATTCATTCATTCATTACCACGCCAGAAATTGCACGAAGCGCAATTTCATCACCCACCAGGAGTTGTAGCGTGCACCATGTATATTCACTAGTATATAGATCCTATACATGATGTATACCCGTTTTATTATAGTGGACGGTACCACTATGTAGTCAGCTAGCATAGTAAAGAAGAGAGGAGTAAGAAAGAGGGGATCTATTAGTTCCGTTACCGGCAAAATAGTGTTAAGAATTGTAGCTAATATTAATAATAATAATGTACCTGACACCTGGTTAGATTTAAGAGATGGGAAAAAAAAATTTCTTAATGTTTGGTAAGTATATCCTTGGAAGATAACGCAATGTCTATAGAATCCATGTTATTCACTATTATCATTATTATATTGAGCCTGGAGATCGTTATCATTATCAATATTCACGGTTTTAAGATTATCATTGACTTCGTCAAAAATCATAATTCCTATTGCGCCAAAACATAAGTTGTCATTAGACTGGGGATAAGAGATTGGAAATAAGGCAGTGTGAGAAATAGTCTGATACGTCCACGATTCCTGCTCTAGTTTAAACCATATTTAAGCATGTATTGCAGATGTTCCTTTAAATGTTTCTTGTTTTTGCTGAGTGCAAGAAAATCTATAAACGTAAGATTGATCAAGTCCATGTCCTTCAGACATTTTGCCAGCCAATAGTATTTGGGGATTCTTCGCCTTCCATAATCCGGGGTCCACTCCATGGACGAAAATATCATATTATCTCGTGAATGTCTTAAGCAGTGGCCGAGTAATTCTAATCTCCTCAAAGGAATGAGTCTTTTGATAGGTAGGATGTCGCACCTGTTCCAGAGAGTTGTGTTTGGGGTGTTGTATGGATAGTAAGTTTTAGTGATTCTTCTTAAGCACTTGTTTATGAAGGTCTGGGATGTGTTGATGTTGCTTTTAGTGTCCTGCCATGTTTCCAACCCGTATGTTAAGATGGGTAGAATTAGGGATTTAAAGAGTCTTATTTTTAGGTTCGTAGATATCTGGTTGGACGACCATAATTTAGTTAGCTGATGATATCGGGATCTGGCCTTGTTGGTCCTCGACTTAGTATCCAAAATGGTGGTGCCTAATGACATTATTCTGGTTCCTAGGTACTTAAAATCCGAGACCGTATCTACCACATTATCCTCAAAGTTAAAGGGGTCGCTGTTATATAGAGGGATATTGGATACAATTAACTTTGTCTTTGAGTAGTTGACTTTCAGTCCGTATCCAAAGCAATTTTTGACAAACAATGACAGCAAGTTTCTTAAATTGTACTCAGAGTTAGCTAATATGCATACATCATCGGCATAGCATAGAAAATTTAGAGAGTTGTGTATGTTATTATCATATTGTTGATTCAGATATCGAGGGTTAAGAGCATGTTCTTGTTTGAAGGATTTATTCAGAATATCGTTCATTATTACATTAAATAGCATAGGTGATAAAATGCATCCTTGTTTCAGTCCTCTGTTGGCCTTAAATGGTTGTGATTTTAAGTTCAGATGTTGTGGTATCACGTTATGATTATCGTATATTATTTTTATAAGCGAAATCAGATGTTTATCTATTCCTATGTCCTCCAGTAAGGGCCAGATCTTATGCTGTATGATGGAGTCAAAGGCTTGACTTAGATCAATCATTAGGGCAAATATTGAGGACTTATGCATTCTAGCTTTCTCCAGAATAACCTTAAGCGCCATGGTTAGTTCCGTCGTGTTCCTGCCCTTCCTATATGATGTGATGGCGTTTGAGAGGTTTCCATCGATGATTGGTTTAATCCTGACGGCTATAATATACGTGAACATTTTTAGGGTAACTGGGATCAGTGCAATTCCTCTGTACCTTCAGGCTAGTCGGGTTCTTATTTTTAGAGAAATTAAGTATTATCGATGTCATCCATTCCTCTGGGAAATTGCCAGTATTCCATATCTCATTAAAGAGGGGAAGCAGTAGACTAGCACTTAAATCAGCATCTATCTTCCAAAGTTCCGCAAAAATCCCATCGATTCCGGCTGCTTTATGGGTTTTTAGTCTTTTATAATGGCATTGATTATATCTATTCTGTTCAGGTTCCGATTAGGTGGTTGGAAAGGATAGTCACATAATGGTTTAGGCCACCTTGTTCTGTAAAGGTTCATGTAATGGTCTGTCCATATCGCTAATTGTTCCCTGGGGTCCGTTATAATTTTATTATTTTCAATGTGTAATCTTGGTAGAGGATTGGATTTAAAGGTAGTGAGTAACTTAAGAGATTGGAAAGCCTTGTAAATATTATTGTTGTCAAAGCTATATTGTATGGATCTAGATAAGTTGGCAATAAAATATCTTTTATCTGTTCTTATGCAGTGAGTTATGTACCTTCTGTGGTGTTTAGTATATTGGTTATAGGAGATATTTGTTGTTAAGTTTTTAATTATCTGTATTGTTGAAGGGGATAGCCATTCTTTACGCTTAATTCGTGGTCTTAAGCATGAATTCATACAGCTTGATAAACTTAGTTTCATATCCTTCCAAGTTATATTAGGATTGATCATGCCATTTTGGGTGTTTCTCCATGTTGTTAGATTGGTGATGAACTCTTCCTTTATAACCGGATCATTCAGCTGTGCCAAGTCTTTCCTCATTATGAAGTGTGTAGAGTTAAGGTGGCTATGTTGATTTCGGTTTGGAAAAATGGTATTTTTTATCCTTAGCTCGCATCCTAGTGGGTAATGGTCCGTAAATAAGGTGAAGTTCAGTTTGCTGATGACTTTGATGTCCTTCACCCACTTAAATATATTGTTGGAAATTATAAAGAAATCAATTTGTGAGGTAGTGCCAAAAGATGGGCTTTTGTAGGTCATGGTGTGATGGTTAGGATGATTGAAGAAGGTATTTCCTATTTTCAAATTGAAGTGTTCACAGATTTCTATTAGTTTTTTGCCATTAGTGTTCGTACTTTGTACTAGAGTGGCGTTCCCGAGGCAGGTAGAATTGTTAGGCTTCCCAACCGAGGCATTGAAATCGCCAGCTAATATGATACTATCTCGATGAGGTAGTTCTTTTAAGATATTTTCCAGCTCTATGTAAAAAACTTTATTATGATGTGGTGAATAAATATTGAACAGGTGAATTTTCTTGTAACCAATATTTAAGGTAAGACAGCAAATGCGACTGGAAATTGGATTAAAGCTTACATATTTAATTAGTTTGTTATGGATTAAGATTGCTACACCTGCCCAAACATGTTCAGCATTCGAGCTGCAGTATAAGGTAAAATTACAAAATATCACTATTATATTATTAAACGATTATGAATTTTGCAACAAAATATGAGTACTAAATTAAATATCTAAAAAATATGTTTTTCAAATAAAATTTTAATCATTATTCCTCTTATAAATAATACATTGATTTGTATAAAAACAAATAATATTATTCAATTCACACAACTATAACATTATTTGGTTATCACCTATATCAAGGGGTAGTGTTGTTAATAGATAATTAATAGTTATAGTCAAAAAATATGACTGACACTAAATTAGTTGATTATTCGATGACTAAAATTATTAATTTTATTATGGTTTTTGAAAACATAAAAAATCTACCTAATTTTATATTAATAGAATAATAATGTTAAAAAATATTAGATTTAGTACCAGCCAGTTACTAAAAATAAACAAATTCAAAATTAGAATAAAAAAGAAATATAATTATAAGCAAATCCACAAAATTAATCAACTAGTTTAGTTGCTAAATTTTTTAGTTGATTTCCATAGTCGTAATCGGAAGAAGTTGACACAAGGGGTATTATTTTTATTTTTTAATTAAATAATTTTTTAACACTGATATGGGTTAGTTTATAAAAATAAAGTACCCCTTGAAAAATGAGATAACTTATTATTTGATTCATACAAAACAAATACTACATTATTTGACTCAAATTTACAAATACATTGATAAAGATAACTTATCACATAATATTATATTCACTAACATATATAAAACTATATTAATAAAAAATTGTAAATTGTTTTAAACAAATTTTAAGAACATATAGGGGAGGGTCAATAGGTTTTTAAAAAAGCTCATTAAGAAGATAAGAAATTAAAAAGTTGGCTTACAACAGATATTTTGAATTAATTTATATAAATATTAGACCTAAATTTTAAACAATTAATAAAATATTAAGTAATGAGTATGTGTTACTTTTTTGAATATCCCTATATAGATATTATGCTTATAACTCAGAGGCATAAATTAAACAAGGCAGAATTTGTTTTATCACATATTATATAAATAATTTATTTAATTTCATAATTATTTAAAAAACTAAATTTATCATGTGTTATTTTTGAAATTTTATTCATATAAATACAAATTTATTAAAAAATACTATATTTAAACTATAATTCATTATACAGCTCAACTTTGAGCATATTATATCATTTTACTATAATAAATTCTCACTCATTTTTTTAATTCAAATGTACATATTCTTTAAAAAATGTCTTAATTTTTCAAAAAATAAAATTTGTAATTTAGGTTTATTTTATATGAAGAATATTACATTTGGTTGAGTTATTAAAAATATTGAGAGTTTTATCAATATTTATTTGAGTAAATTCTTGAGCCAATCTGTCTTTCAATTTATCTGGTATTGTGTAATGGAAAATAAAATCTTTGTTGCCTTGATTCAAAGCTAAAAAATTATAAGGTGAATTGAGAGGACTATTAGTGACACTAGCATTGTTTGAATAGTCTGTATTATATAAAAAATACATTAATCCATTTAAATGAATAAATTTATTTTGCCTAAATCATTAATAGTTTATTCAGGAAAAATGTCTCAAATTATCGTTATATAAATTTGATTTAGTGTCTAGTAATAAGTATATTATTGTTAAAATTATAAAGTTATTGATAGTTTCAGTCGAACCTCTATCATCCTTATCAAGTTTTGATTTTGAGCTACTTTCGTGAATAGTGGAATTTCTGGTATATTTCCTTTTAGTTACAACCTTTCGATTCATTTTGAATGAAGTGAAAACAGACAGGATGATGACATAATTCCATTGAATGAAATTGTAAAATTATTTCTAATTATAAAAGAAAAAAATCGTTTCAACCAAGGTATTTTAGCATTTTATTTTATTTAAGGAACAATTTTTTAATAAAAACGAATTTAAAATAAAGGTCATATAAGAAACAAATCACAATTATATGATATAGGGCATATACATTAAAAAGTTAAATCTAAAAAAACAGTTAAATTAGGTAATAACAGAGGCGAGACCGGCTTACTACATTGCTATACAGAACATGAATTGCAATGCAATTTCTTTGACAATAACTTGTTTTAATAGAAGGCTTTATTGCGATAGTGACTTATTCAACTTAATTCTTTCACTAATAACGTGATAAATTAAAGGTATTCCTCGCCAAAAACCAAGAGTATTGGTGACAAATGTGAAAAAAATTATTTTGCAATGTCTGAATATTTAATTACAAGATATCTGCCTAACTTATTACTGAGTCATTTCTTTGTAACGTGCCGAATATAATCTCAAGCAACTGGAAGAAAGGTATTAGGCTTATACCATCAGGTTTTCTGTTGTTGCCTGGGCCAAAATGAGTAGGCTCTATAGTATTTGATTTGGGATACTAGCATTTTTTAAGAGCTTTTGAGATTAAGTTATTTATGTTTGCATACCGAGGGAGACAACTTTTGGAATACCTGCAATGTAAATGATAGTGTCCTTTGGATGGTAAGAAACAATTAATACAATTGGAAGGGAGTGATATAGCTATATGGAGTTCTTCATTAGTAAGAAAGGGACCGAGATTTTTGTTTGGATTTGGAATAGCCAACAACCATTAGTAGCCTAATTTCGAATTTAGAATAGCCTATTTGGGTTATTGTTATAATGAATATTATATTAAAAATTGAGAATGAGAGTTAATAAAACAACTAGAAGGTTGATTTAGTGGTCGCGTCTATAATTAAATGCATAAATTTTTATAGTTTTCCAAATATTGATATTTTACAATTATTTTGGCATAATAATATATGTATATATATCTACGATAGTAATAATATACATGAAATTCTTACATGGAAAAAAACAAATTTTTATAAAAATATATAGAATTCCAAAATATCTTGCTGGAGGGGCGAGAAAATCAATTATGCTCATACATATTTACAGCGCTAGCAAATAAGTGTTTGGAATAAAAATCTCAAGCTTAGTACTAATAATAACTTGATGAGATATATGAAAAACTTAAATTTTTACAAAAATCATTGGCAGTTTTTAAACTATCTCTCCCCTTCACTAACTTTGAATTCATTAATTGACATTGTTGATAATTTAGTAATTATATTGAATTTTTATATTCACTGATATACTTAAATACAATCAGAAAAGTAAATATTATTAAAATAGATTTACTATCATGATAAATATTAATATATAATATACTATATTTTACAAATGATATTATAAGATTAAAAATGTTGAAACAAATTTCGATTATAAATAATTGATACCAGAACATCTATTAAAAATTATTTATTATTAAATAATATCATTTTAAACATTTTTTTATATTTGTGTAAAAAGACTTCTCTTATATATTTTTTTATAATTTTATACAAATTTTTATTGCACTAATAAAATATTTTTAAAAATCACTGAAATAAATAATATATAAATTATACTATATTGTGTTAAATAAATATATGTATATAATTAAAAATTTGATTATATTCTTATCTCTGGGATTGTTCACCTACCACTCAAGTAAAATTAATACAATAAATTATAAAATAAGTTAACCATAGAGTTTCTCAGAATGAGAGGAAATCTATTTGTTGATAATTATATTTCAGTATTCTAATTGCTGGAAAGTGTGACTGAGGCAACTTGGTCCTCGAGGTTTGTTAATATCTGTTCAATTTAGAAATATAAGATACTAGCAGACTTTGGAACCAGAGCCAGGGACTTTCGAAACTAGGACAAATCAAGTAACCTGAATCTGACACCCTCTTTTAAAATTTACAAGAGCCAAAATCGAACCTGTTCATTTTAGAATTTTTAGGAACCTGTCTATAATTTATATATATGCACTGTTCAAAATATCGCATATTCATTTTAGAGGGTTTATTTATTTTAAAATTTTTTGATTGATTTAACAAAGCTTGAAACAGAAATCGAAACTTTGAACCACCGTAACCGCGTTAAATTTAAAAATTAGAACCCTTTTTAAAATAGAGGAGCTCGAATCAGAATTTCTTTTGCCAAAATATTTAGAACCGGGGCAAGGATCATTGTAAGTCTCACATATTCTAGATAGTATATTTTATGATAGTCTTAATAAAATTTTTAGTAGTAAATTGCAATAGAACAGAATATTATCAGCCATTTAAAATTTTATAAAAGAAAAGTAAATTTGGTATACGATTTTTCCAAGATAAGATTGCCATCTATATTACATTCGTATAATAATTATTAAAATAGAAGCTCTCTTTTATCAGTTGGGAAAGTTTTATAAATATTTATGCTGTTTATATAATATATAATAAAGATAAGTAAAGTTAGTTATATTAAGGTCTTAATAGCACGCGGAAAATGGTAATTTCAAATTTATATTTATTTCTTTGTTTTGGAATCCTAGATCAAATTTCATAAGATTTTTTTAAAAAAAAGGATTACATAATAGAAGGGGTCATGATTACAATATTTCAAAATTTTAATTGAAATAATAAATTTTTATTTTAACTTATATTAATAGTGGCTCAGTTGTATTATATTGTGTTATCCTGACAACTATTACCAATAGCATTCTCAAATATATATATCTTGTAATCTATTATAAACTAAAATAGCTAATGACTTCACTCTCTCTAACATGGAAGTGAATAATGCAATTAAGATTAAAATTTTAAGAGTGGAGGGACATTATGGGGTACCTTTTTAGTTAACGCACATAATTAAATTGTATCCTTTTATATTTTAATTATAAAGGGGCCTTGCGTCAGTGGCTCAAGGCGGTCTAAAAGCATATGATTTATTTTCATAAAATAGTTTATCAAAGCCCGGGACATGTTGGTTGTTTTCTCAATTAGGATTTAAAAAAAAATTATTATATATAATTAAAGTTATAGGGTTAAGGTATTTTACAAAATATAATATAAGATTAGTTTTATATGCTGCCCTTCCTGATATTTATAATAATATAAGAGTGATAAATAACTTGACAAAATAAGCTTGATTAACCGCTGTCCTCTAATGTTATAATAATTATTTCTAAATCTTATGATTAATTTAATAGTTCCCACACACAGTATATACCACTTGCTAAGTTTTATTATGATAACATACTATTTTTAATGATTTAGCTATCTATGACCAAGAAACTGGTGACCTTTCATAATATATTTTTATTTTATTTTTAGATTTTTTTAAATTAAACAACTAACAATCTGAATAATTAAGTGTTTGTGCAAATTTTATTTCTTAATAAATCATATATTAAATAGGTCATGACTGGATTTTTTTTTAAAGTATTAAAAACTGTATTCATTTTAAATGTTTTAAATTTATTAAAATTGATTTCTATATAATATTAAGTTATTAAGTACAAGATTCATGACTGAGTGAAATTATTGACAATAATTTAAGAGTTAAAAAAATTTTTTAACAATTGAATCCCTGAAAAGAAATTACCAGCATTGAATGCTGCAAGTGTAAATGTTACAAATCCAAAAAAGTGATAAGATAAAAATGAATAAACAAATTGAGATTAATAATTATATTCTTGATACAGACATTAAAAAATTGAAATAGCGAATATCTAAAATATATAGTATTATAGTAAGATAGATAGTAAATCCAAAATGATAATATATTCTACAATGAGTTCATTTAACTTTGTACACATCGAATATTTTTGACAAAAATATGAAATGGTAAAAATATCTCAAGGCAAAAAAAATTTTGCATCTTATAATTTAATAATTAATTGTAACTTTTACTTACTAATATTTGTAGTTCATATTTTAATAAAATATTTTACGATTATTAAATTTATATTTATAATAAAGGCAACGCATTATCTATCAGTTGCAATAACTTGGTGAGCTATCGAAAAATTTGCCTTACCGTCGCTTGCTATAAAAGATTGGGACAAAATGGTTTACATTAATTTTCAATGTGGTCTTAATTATTAAATCCATTTTAAAATTTGGGAGAATATAAATTAGAATGGGTGTCGAACTGTTAAGTATAACGGTTAGTTCTAATCAAGTTCTTATTTTAAAATTTTAAAACGGTTTATTTCAATTCCGGTTATTTTTTAATTAATTTTTATAGGTTCGTTTCGAATTGGCAATTTATATCGGTTCTTTTCCCGTCATTTAAGTTTTTATAAGTTCTGTAATTTCAAATTAATTATAATTTTGTTTGTAAAGCGTAACAATGTAATGAAAGCATTTTAAATAAAAAACAAATTGAAGAAAATTTTTTAATTTTATTGTAAAATATGAAATAAGAGACATAGTGAAATATTGACTATTATAGTAATAAATATAATTTAAAAAAGCGTTATGAAGCGGCTTAAACCAGTTAGGAAGTATATGTAATGAATCGATTATCTCCTTTTATAATTTTCTTATAACGTTTCGGTTATGGCTACGGTTCAGAGAACTATAAATGGCTCATCTTGGTTTTGCGATTAGGTTCGACACCCTAATAATAAGGCACGTAAGAAAATAAAGAATGAAGGTGAGAAATAATTAAATATAAAAATTTTAAATAATTATTAAGGTAAATAAAAAAATTTACATCAGTTTGGGATTCGGATAATGTTTTACTAATTTTTTGAAAAAATGTCATGGATAAAAAAAAATCATGAAAATTAAATTTATTAATAAAAGAATTTAATATTATTTGAAATATACATCTATAACACATATAGCCGACCTTTGTGCTCCGAAGAGACGCCAAACTGTCTTGGATCAATCATGTAATACATTTTAAAATTTTTTGCATAAGTTGCATTCCATATTAAATCAACTGAAGATTCAACCCGACCTTCTTCGATTTTTTTTACATTTTGTATGATGGTAGTATATACAATAACTAGTAAAAATATAAAATTTTAATTCCCAACTCAGCTTACTTCATGAGATATGGTCATTTTTGGAAACGCGGAAATTTCAAAATACGCTATAATATCTCAAAATGTAAATAAGCTAAAACATAATTTAAATTTTATCAAATAGCTCTAGAAAGCCCTTAATATGATATAAAATTTATTTTATTGAAAATAAGTCTAAAAAACAGAAATAGAAAACCGGAAATGGCAAGTAAAAATGCTCCTTTTTTCTTTTAAATTTTTTTTACAGATAGATATTATACTTCCTAATATTTGTAAAAAATCCTAGATTTGGACAACTACTGGGCCATAGGCGTAGCTAGGGGGGGGGAGGCAAGGGGAAATCCCCCCCCTTCAGAAATTTATCACTTTTTGTGAATATCATTTTAAGCTAATAAAAAATATCCCCCTTAGTTCTCCCCCCACTCCCTGACCTGACCCACAAAAATATATTCATATATCTTAAACAATAATTTGAAAGAAAGAATGTAAAAGTTGATAATAATTTATAAAACTATTCTTCATAATTTATACATTTGTGGGAAAAAGCATTTATATATAAAAAAGTGAACCAAAAATGCTTTTTAAGAAATGGAATATAATAAGCCAAAGATAAGTCTTAAGACAAAAGTGAATGTATTATAATTATTAATAATATATCCATAAAATTACTAATATATTTTTTTATAAAGTGAATAATTTTAACTTATTATCTTAAGAAAAAAATATAATTATAAAACTATATAAAATTTTATCATAAATTAAATAAAAAAATTAAAGCACAATACAAACAGTGGAAAATTATATGTCGTAGATTTACAGTATATCTAATTTTATCAATTATCATATGACAATCAAGTAATTTTTACCAATATAGCCAATTATATATTTTACAGAAATCTATAATATATTGATAAGGACATCAGAAAATATAATTTAAAGACATTGTGGGACAAATAATATGAGATTACTTTTAAATATTATTTTTTATTTAAAATAAATAGATGGCGTTAAATAATTAAATGCATATTGTTGCAATATCTATTATCAAGAGCATAGATTAATAAAACTTGTCAAAATATTAACTGTAATATATTCTTTAACTGTCAAATATGTCTGTAAAATTGAAGTTTTACCTAGTATTTTGTAACGAATTCTATATAATAGAGGGATCAACTATATGTCTACTTACTTTTTATAAATAAATTTCTTGGAATTATTACCATGCTTTTATATTAATGTATATACAAGTAATTTATTATATTTTATATAAACTAATAAAAATATATTTCATATTTGTTCCAGGTTTATTTTTTTTATTAAAATTAACCTCCTATATTGTAAAAATATTTTATGACTATATAGAGACTAAGGAAACCCGGCCGAAGGCCGGGCAAAAGCGGGCCGAAGGCCCGCCCTAAATGGGGTCTGGAATTCCACCCCCCCCCCCCCCCTTAAGAAAATCATGGCTATGTACTGGGCCAAGAGTTATTACACTTTAAATATACGTCATATGGCTAAAATCGTTAATAAATATCATTTATATTAGAATATATATTAATTTTTTTAAATTTTCAAAATAAAAAGAAAACTTAAAGTTTGGACATATATTTTTATTTGTTAGTAGAATGATCGTAAACTTAGTTTGTTCAGTTATGTGAAACTCTATTGAAAAAATAATAATTTCTATATAATAAATTCGGACCGGGGACAAATAATTTTTGAGTCTTGCATTTAGGGACAAATAAAAAAAATATTCGTTTGGGATCGGGTCGGATATATTTTTTAAAAAGGTTCCAGGCCGGGTTAGATAACTTAGGTCCTATACAGATCACCAGTAGATATTATGTCATATTTAAAACATAAGTTTGGCTATTTTATTTTAGAAAGAAAATAATTGAATATTTATAACTTGGGAAATTAATATTATAATAAACATATTAATTAAATATCATGCATTAAATAATCAGATGAATTTGAATAAAATTTGACTTTTTTCATTTTTCCTTCCATCGGAATAAATGCAAGATTGTTTCCCTGGAATTGGCCTTTAAAAATCTATTTTCGAGATTGGATTCTTAAATATTCAACGTTGCTAACAAATATATAATTAATATTCGGGGTATTAATGATCGCATGGTGTTAGTATATGATTTTCTTAAGGACGTTGCAGGCTTGCTCTAGCTGCTAACCTCTTAGTAATTCCCCCTAAATTGTAGGGAGTTTTGCCATGTGAGTTGCAAAAAAATATAATGTATGTAGAGGTTTATAACTTTTTTTTATTTTATTCCATGTGGGATGAAGAGATTACTTAGCTCCATAGTTGTTACTTTATTACCTTTTACAAAATCTTATTATTTATTCCTTATAATGCTTCAAAATTAAGGCGTTTTGATAATGTAATAGGGGAGATCGGGATAGTTTGTCCATAAAAAATTGAAGTACTATAAAAAATAGCTAAAGCAATTTTTCTAAAATGTTTTTACACGATTTTATTCTTTACATATATCTCTACGGGAGAAATTGATATTTAGGAAAAAATCATTTAGTTTATAATTAATGCGAAATTTAAAAAAATGAAAATTGAAGTTTTATGAAAAATACCCGGGGTACCTATTTTCCTTTAACGTTACGTGTCATAGCACTTTTTTATTTTTAAATTTTTTTTATATAAAGGTGTTTATTTTAAGTAAATAAATAAAAATAAATTCTCAAATATGTTAAATTTATTAGGGTTCATCTATATCACACATATCACTCGGAAGTACTTGTTGTCACTTAAATCTGTCATATAATTACAAAAAATAAGTCAATCATCTTCATATTGTCATTAGTGGTCCTAGACAAACTAGTGACTTCTAATGTTTTTATAAATTTAGTTATAATCCCTGTTTAAAAATGGCTAATACGCACCCAGCAAAAACATGCCCCAGGTCTTCACAATTAATTAAAATTTAATTTTAAGATATTAAATTACCATAAATTGTGTCAATATTTTTATATATGATAAAATATATATTTCTTTATCATATAGAATTAATATTAAGTCTTAACAACATTTATAAAAAAGTTATTAGTGTAAAATTTTAAAAAGTAACCTTTGGTATGTTAAAATTTAAATTTGCATTTAAAATTTTTCATGAGCAATTTTGTCCGAAACATTTTTGGACCTACTTAAGCACCTTATTAAAATACATATTTGGCTTAAATTTCAAAACTTAAATTTTATTAATTTTTAAATTATTCGAGAAGGAAATACCTACCCCGGGAACACACTATCCCCGTCTCCCCTACTTGGTAAATGTTAATCTGATTTTTTAGGATTTTAGTTTCAATGCTATATTGTCTACTTTTTAAAATATTTAAAGTGTAATAACTCTTGACCCAGTATTTATCCCAATCTAAGATGTTGTGCAAATATTAAGAATTATAATGTCTATCTGTAAAAAAAATTAAGAAAAAAAGACCAATTTTTACTTTATAGCCAATTCAAGTTTTCTATTTCCGGTTATCGGTAATAGACTTATTTTTAATAAAATAAATTTTACATCATATTAAAGGACTATTCTAGAGTTATTTAATAAAATTTAAATTATGTTTTTAGCTCAATTACCTTTTGAGATATTTTAAATTAAATAAAGTGTATTTTAGAATTTCGCGTTTCTAAAGATGTCCGTATCTCATGAAGTAAGCTGGTTTGAAAGGTAAAATTTCACATGTTTATTAGTTAATGTATATACCAGCAACATGCAAAATTTTTAAAAAATTGAAAGGGGTCGCGTTGAGAATCCAGTTTTTTTTGGTTGATTTAATATGGATTACAAATACAACATAATTAGTTAAAGGTGAAAAAATATTTGCATTATTTTTTGTACAACTCTACCACGAATTAGAATATCTACGGGGTCAAAATTTTTCTTTCAACCTATTTTTTTTAACCTTATTTTTTAAATTAAATTTTCCTCAGATTTTTATTGAGTAATTTATTTGATGTTATAACTTATATAAAGAATACATGAGTTATAATAACATTAAAAATATTTAATGTTAATGAAAAATAAAATATTGTCTGATATATGGTCAATTAAAATTTAGTAGGACAAAATATTTACACAAAATCAAATTAATGTAGGCTTTTTATTAATTTATTTTATGAATTTTACTTATATTTTGGGATTCTCATTTATCAATATTTTATACACAAATTTAATAATCTATCTTAGCGAAATATTAATTAATTTTGAATATTTTTGCAATTATTATAACTCTCATGTGTTTCTTCATATCCGCTGTCTAATAAATTACTTATTCAAGAAAATTTTTAGTTAATTTTTTTTAACCTCTATTAGTATAGTAGGGGAGACCGGGGATAGTGTGTTCCCGGGGTAGGTATTTCCTTCTCAAATAATTTAAAAATTAATAAAGTTTAAGATTTGAAATTTAAGCCAAATATGTATTATAATAAGGTGCTTAAGTAGGTCCAAATTGTTTCGGACAAAATTGCTCATGAAAAATTTTAAATGCAAATTTAAGTTTCAACATACCCAAAGTAACTTTTTTAAATTTTACATTTTCACGAATAACTTTTTTTATACAAGTTGTTCAGACTTAATAAAAATTCTAAATGATAAAAAAATCTCCATTTTATCATATATAAAAATATTGACAATCATTATGTTAATTTAATATTCTAAATTTAATTTTTAAATGATCCTGTGGACCTGGGGAAGGTATTAGCGGGGTGCGTCTTTTCCTTTTACATACATACATTAAAATATTGGTTCTGATTTTGTAAAATGGTTCGAACATATATTAGAAAAACTAACAAAGAAAATAATGATAATCAAAAGGTAAGTATTCTTCAAATGCTGAAAGATAAGATACCTTTGACAGTTATAACCATGAATACGAATTTAAGTTATGGGAGGTATATTTATATATTTAAATTAGTATATATTTAAGAAACTAAGCATTAAGAGGTATAATAAATTGTTCAAAAGGAATGAAGATTTTCAAGAGTGATATCTTCACAGATCAGTATTTTCTCCTATTCAAGAAGCTAAATTAACAGATTATTTAATTAAAGGATCAAGATTATTTGCAGGATTATACCCTAAACAAGTATTTTAATCCTTTGTTATATCATATATCTCTGTAAAATGTAATTTTTTATAATCTTTAAATTTATGCCATGGTATTTCTTTAGTTAAATAATAATAAACTTGAGAAAAAATTTTTAAATTATTTACATTATATGTTAATGAAACATCTTTATTAATTTTAAAATACTTTAAAGTAAGAATTTAACATATACATTAGAATGATATTTATTTAAGTGTGCATGATATATATGTAAATAAATTGATGCTGCCATTTATGTATAAAATGATGCTGCCATGTATATATATTAATTTTAAAATGATACTGCCATGTATATATATTAATTTTAAAATGATTTATTCATTGTAGCATTATATATATTATATCATGCATTAAATCATATCTTACCTATATATTAAAGATTTAATTATGTAAGTATGATATATATTTAAAATAAAATGATGCTGCCATGTATATTAATTTTAAAATGATTTATTCATTGATTTAGCATTAAATAATATCATGCATAAAAACATATTTTGGTTCTTACCTATACATTAGAGGTTTAATTATGTATGAATTTTATTATATTAATTATAAAATAAATTCAGAATAAAATTTAAGAATTAGGATTTTAATTAGATTGCCTTAATATATAAATAATTTTTTGTCTTATGTTTAAATTTAGGTTAGAGTTTTAGCTTATCTAATGGGCAAGAGGTATAATTTACAAGTACCAAAATCTTGGGAAATAACTAAATCAGCTGGTGAATGGAGCATTTATTAAAAGAAATCCAACTATTTCTTTGAGAACACCAGAGGCTACAAGTATAGCCAGGGATACCAATTTCAATATGAAAATGGTTGATTTATTTTTTAATAATTATTTGACTGTCACAAGGGAAAATAACTTTCTACCATGTAATATATATAATATGGATGAAACTGGTAAATTAAAATATATATGATAGCAAATCTTTAATATTTTCATAGGATTAACAACAGTTCAACGGCCTAATAAATTTATTGCAAGGAAAGGCGAAAAACAGGTTGGGGCAATTACTACATCAGAACGTGGTACACTTATGACCTTGGCAATTGCTGTCAATGCTCTAGGAAATTCTATTCCACCTATATTTATATATCCCAGGAAAAAATTTAATGATCATTATTTAAGAGATGGCCCTGTAGGATGCATTGGTGTGTCCAATGGTTCTGGATAGATGCTGGCTGAAGATTTTATATATTTTTTAAATCATTTTATAAAATACACTAAGCCTAGTCAAGATAAAAAAGTTTTGCTTATATTAGATAATCATAAATCTCACCAATCTATTTAAGTCATTGAGCTGTGCTCTGACAGTGGTATAGTTCTATTGACTCTCCCTCCCCATTGCATTCACAAACTCCAACCATTGGATAGAAATGTTTTTGGACCTCTAAAAAAATATTACAACAGTGCCTTGGATGCTTGGATGAGAATGCATCCAGGGAAAAGTTTTACTATATATGATATCCCTGGAGTAGTAAAGGATGTCCTTCCAAAAGCCACCTCAGCTTCAAATATCCAAAAGGGTTTTGAATCCTCAGGTATATGGCCCCTAAATCCTTTAATTTTTAATGACAAAAATTCTAATCCTTTATATTATAATATAATAACGATCCTAATGAGAATTTAAATTTATCTGAAATTATTTCGCAACCATCTGTCAGTGATAGTCCTGATCCATCATCTTCTCACGTGGAAAGATTTTTCTCCAGAAATTATTAGTCCCCATCCAACAATATTTAAAAAAACAACACGTAATCAAATGACTTCAGCCATTTTAACCTCTTCACCTTACAAAAAAATAGCCAGATCTAGGGCTAATAATCTGGAAAAAAAAATCAAACCAATAATAAAAAAAGTTTAAATATGAATGCTGGCAAAAAAGAATTCTGTTTAGAGTGCCACAAAAACTATCAAACTCACCACCATAATGAAGATTGGTTCCAATGCCGTAATTGTCATTTATGGGCACATGGATCATGTTGTGATTTTAATCCATTTTTTATATGTAATAAATGTGTTGTATGTTAATATTATATGTTTGTTATGATTTTTGTATGAAAAAAATGAATAAAATGCTTAGAAAATGATAGTCTAAAACATGCCCCACAAAAGGATAATACGTCCCCCGTCTCTTTTTCATGACTCAAAAATTTTCATTTTTTTAAATTTAAATTTAAAAAAATATTATATATTTTTTTATTAGATATTAATTTCTACTGTAGATAATTATATAAAGAATAAAATAACATTAAAATTATTTTGATAAATTATTTCTCCTCCTTTTCACAGGCTCTCAATTTTTTATGGACAATATAACCCCGGTCTCCCCTAGTATATGTTTATAATATAAATATGTTCAATAAATTTACTTAGTAAGATATATAACCAATTAGATATATTTATAATAACCACTTTTCTAATGCTTTTTCTTCTCTACTTCAATTTAAAAATATTTTCGAATACCTTACCCCTCATTAAGCCTTTTTGAGTTTTTATATTATATATATACATCTCTTTAAATCCTTCAATCACTTTTAAAGTTCCTGATTTTTCCCAATCACAATCACATTTCCTGATTAAGATCTATTAGCATTTTAATTACCTATCATCTAACGGCAATATAACTCCATCATTGATAATATATTTCTTTATTTCCATATCTAAAATATATTTTATTTATAGTAAAAAATAAAAATAAATGCAGCCTATACTCACACAAGATAAGATATTTAAATTTTTCTTTAACTCGGTTCACAAAATTTAAATAAATAAATTATAGACTTTACATTAAAATAAAAAAATAGAAGGATTATTATTTTGTAATGATATTTCATTTTTTAGGTTAAAAGTACAAATACTAAATACTTTATAAATTATTTAAAATAATACAAGTATATTCACTATAATGTGCCAAACCATGAATTTTAGATATGCTTTTATATTTTCTTTAGATTTTAATTCTAAGATGATATATTATCAGAGACCTGCAGGCCCGGCCCTAAGCCCAGCCGGGGTACCCAAACCGGACCGTATTTTAATTTTAATTTACCTTGGGCCTGAAAAATTTTTGGGCCGTATATTTTAAAACCAAATATTTGAAATCGCCATTTTTAGCTGTAAAAATCAAAAATAAATAAAATATATTTTAAAAAAATCCGGGCCGGGCCAGAAAATATTTTTAAAAAAAATTGGGGCCGTACAAATGGTATTTCTGCAGGTCTCTGATATATATTATATAGTTATCTTTTAATAATTACGAATCCCTAGTTTTATATTTTTGTTTTAATAATGGTTATTATAGTGCTAAGAGAATAAATTCAGACTTTTATTTAAGGGATTTGTCCTTAAAATTACATTCAGTCGCGATCTATCAATTGCGATAAAATTTGTGCAATATAAATATTGCAATAATTTGGATAATATAATTATGGTTACAAATATAGAATCATAATAAAAAAGATTAGTCAATTTTTATATTTTCTTCGCAAAGTTTGGCATTTAGTATGATAAAGGTTTGGTTTAGATAAATATGATAAATGAGAGATCTTAATGAAGAGCTATAAATTGGGAAAAAATTAAGTTAGAGGCAGAGTTTGAAACCAGGCACTTAGACACCCCCCCCCCTTCCCCGTCTAATTTTAAAAATCTTTTCTCTACCCCTTATCCCATACCTCATGAGAAAAGTAAATCCACTTCAAAGTTAGTAAAAAAAAATATTATCCCCATATATCTTATCCATACTCTTCTTTATTCCACAAATCTCCTTTAATCTCAACGATAGTCATGGTAAAAGTGCCTGGTAACTATCTAAAAAAAAATTTTCAGGAATTGGAATTAGTCTGCCTTTCCTCTTTATCAAGCGAGTTTGGAACCAAAACAAATCCAAAACCTGGAGGGAACCATTTTAATAAATATATATTTAGAACCAGAACCATTTTTTCAATCTCCAAATTTAATATGGGCAGAAAGTCTTGGACCGGAAATTTTATTTGGAATTACAAAGTTCCGAATCAACAAAATTTCTCAAATGGTAGTTTATCTTATAGTGAAAACGCGTAAGAATATTTTTTTATAAATAGGTTTTAATTTTCTAAAAAAGTTTATTTATATATTCATATACTACATTCTCCCCAAAATATAAGGGTTATCCGAATTCTTAAAACACTTTACTCAGAGTGAAAAATGGGTCAAAATCGAAGAATGTGTCAACGGAAAAACCAAGTTAGAAAAACAATGCTTTTTAAACAACATCAAAGTAACGTGTAAAGAGCAAGGCGTTAAATACGAAGAATGCAAAAAGTGTCAAGGTTTTAAAATTAAATAATATTTCAAAATTTTTACTAGTAATATTAAAACTTTTATAAATTCAATATTATATTATAAATATAATTGTAAACAAATACACTCTTAAAATTAGTTGTCCAAAGGTATTTTAAAATGTAACTTTTTCTAAACTGCAGGTGCACCGTGCAATTATGGTTTTAACTTATACTAGAACAAAGTTCAACTAATTTATTTCCTATTTTATTAAATATATTAATACAGAGATGCACCGATATTCCTTTTTAAGGAGAACTGATATAACCGATACTGGACACTAATACTTGAATATTTTTTATTGCCTTCTCCAAAAAATTTTGATTTTCAGATAAACATTTTATAGTAATTTAGAATAAATAGTGTTGTTTAACGGCTCGTTTTGAGCTGATTTTTAAAGCGCTAACTTAATATTTTATCCAGAAAGAAATAATGCAAGACTGAAGATTTTTCTCATATATGGCATAGTTGTTTTTAAAAATCGGTACAAATCAAGCCGCTTAACAACACTTAATAAAAATAAGTATTGCCTAATTTCTAAAAAATTAAAACCTTATAATCATTTGATAATTTCATCGATATTATTGATATTTACATTTTGAAGATTATTTAATAGTGAGTTGTCGCGGTATTGACAATTAATGGTACCCGCTTGTAATCTTGGATATATATATAAATATTTAAATCAAATATGAATATTTTTATGAGATTTTGAAATTATTAACTATTTGAATTTATTATTAACCGGGTTTGGTCTAAGACCTATGTTTAGTTATTATATAAGTTATTAATGATGGTTTAAAACAACGAGCATTTATAGATACTAAATTTTCTTTAAATTATCTCAAATAATTTATTTATTTTAATATCAATACTACTGTTCCTATAGGATGCATGGTTAGCTATGCAAAACTGATTTTCTAAATAATTGCAGTTCTCAAAATAAAATTTATATAAAAATATTAAACATCTTCTTTTTTTTTTAGTACACTCGACTTGAATTGTATTTTAATATATAATTTTTTAAAAATAAGTTATAAATTTAGCATGGAGTGCCTGCAAGCCTGATTGCGGTTTAGGTATCAAGGAAAGAACAAATTTTTGTTTAAAATTAGCCGACTGTCAATGTCCATCTGAGTCAACCGAAAAATCCATTTGTTTTAACAACGAGTGCACAACTAAAGTGGTAACAATGAAGACTGATATAAGTAATTGATAGATATTAAGGATATATATATATATTTATTATATATTACCCAAGATTTAAAATATTCATCCATCCATAATTAAAGAGTGTGGAATACTGTTCTAGCAAAAGAGGTTTTTAAAAATTAAAGAACGCGAGCCATAAATAGTTTAAGTTTTAAAAAAAATTAAAACTCCATATTTGCTAAACTCCTACATTATACTTTCTTTTATTTATATGATATTGAAATTTATTAATTTTTTGAAAAAAAATAACTAAAAATGTAACGTTTACTCCTGATGGATTACTACATTTATTTTATTTTAAAAATTCTTTATAAGATATAATATTTTCCTTAGCTTATTTATAACTAAAAAAGTAATACTATATATTATTATATCTCACTTTGTAAATTTATTTTAGATGGTTTGGATATACTTAAAGGTACATTATAATAATATATACAATTCGCCTAGCGGCATTTTATCATGCGACCTGCGACACTTTATCACGCGATATAATTTAACTATTTTATTTTTTTCACCCTGAATTCATAAGTTTTATTGTACTATAAAATTACTTTGTACAAATAAGAAATTTACAATTATACACAATTATTGGAAAAAATATATATATTAATAAATCATATTTATATAAAGTCATTAATTCTTGCTATCTTTTATTGATTGAGAAGTTCCCTTTTAGCGTTAACATTATAATTGCGAGGAAAATAGCCAAAGTCTATCCTATGCATAGGATGTTCAATTAGGGGGTTTCGGACATTGAGAGAATAAAGCTGAGATAGTTGTATTTTATTATGTTTATAGCTAATCTTTGGCGTAGGTAGAATCCCTCGTTGGAATCCTCGATCCTAGCAGTGATCCGTTTTTCCAGTTCTTTAAAGAACACCAGGACATGGGAGCCGAATCCATTCAATTATTCAAATTATAACTGCGTCCTTTATCATTATATATATTTTTATTATTTTATATTATACAAATTTTGTAGCCACGTACAACACTATTGACTGGCCAGAAAAACAACTTTCACATAACCTCATCTAGCTCATAAACTATTATAGATAGAGCTTTGATTCAGATTTTATTTAACAATATTTAGGCTACACATTGATATAAAATTTGTTTAGCTAAACCCAAACTTGTTTTCAAAAAAAGCAACAACATGGCCATTTATAGCACATTTCCCCTATATATTTTTTTAATGTTTTGACTTAACAGAATAAAAATAAATATATATTTTTTAAAAAAATTTAGAAAATAAGTTTTAAAAGAAATAAATTTAAAAATTGAAATTGAAACAAAAAAGTCAAAAAATCAGATATTATCAAAAACTCAACATTTCAAATAAATAAAATTCAGTGATTAAATAAATCATGATAAAGTGTAGCGTTATCAAATGACTAAGTGATAAAGTGTCGAGTGAAAGTGCCACCAAATCATACAATTAATTATAGTGATATTAATTAATGTATATTGTTATCTCTTATAAGATTTGCTTGTTCTTTATTACATTATTCCATGTTGTATCAACTGATCCAAATTCGCTATTATTGGGTCAATTTTAATATATATTCCTTATTTTTACTGGATTTCTTGACCTAGTGTGCTAGGATTTGTTTGCCTAGTGACACTTTGTGTCACCAAATCGATTTGTGTTTGTGAGATTTTCAGGATCAGTTGTAGGTAAACTTACTTTTTTACGAGATTGACTATTTTAAATATTTTATTTTGGTATAGATGTTTAATAAATTACATGAGATTTATTGATTATATTATATATTGCAATAAAAGTTATCTATTTATCATAAGCTTTCGCATTGATTAATAGTCAAAATATGATTACCAATCCTGGTATAAGTGCTTTATTTCCAACCTCTGCTAATAGTATCGTGCCTTCGTGGGGTCAATGGAGCCCATGGGAAGCCTGTTCGAGCACTAATAACATATGTCAGGAGAATAGAATACGCTGCTGCACTATAGATGGAGTTAATTGCATAGATACTAATCCAAATTTTAGTAACGCTTACAAATGCCCAGAAACTTTGACTAAAGAAATAAGATCTTGCCAAAATGCTATGTCTAAATTTACTTACTATATCAGGTTTAGTATTTTTTTAACATTTAGATTTTCATAAGGTAGAATAATTTTTTAATATTCCAGCCTTAAAGGGTGTTAGAACCGTGTAATTTACCTTTGCTTAGAATTTGGATAATGCCTTAAGAAAGCGCAAAAGAGAAGGGAAAGAGTGATTTTCTCTAATTAAGATGTTTAAATATACTATATTGTAATAATATAACTTTGACGTTAACAAACCCCATCAGAATTATATAGAGCATAGAAATCGAACGTCTAGCCCTTCAGTGCTCTAGGAGGGATCATGGGGCACGAGACATATTAAATTCATATCATAAAAAAATGTAAATTATTATATGGAATCTTTAGTAGCTACATTAAATTTATTTTTAATTTGGTTCAGTAGTTTTAATAAAGTATAATCGTCTTGTGAGTTACCTGGGCATATTAGATCCCAATTTCTATATTGTAATTTATCATTTAAAATGATGATTATCTTAATGAAATTTGCATTTAAACATTACAAAATATATCTGAGAACCTACAGGTCAGGCCCGTAAGAACTTGACCCAAAACTGACCATTAAAATTGCATAATTTCGAATTTTTAGGCGGTAAAAATTATTTAACAGGGCTTTTGACCCTGTCAAGGCCTATTTTTTTGATAAAAAAAATTATCATTTAATCAATTGAAAATCTTAAAAAATCATATAAATTCATGAATCGCTTAATATTGATTTTATATTTTCAATTTCTTTGTAACTAACAAATTTCACCAAAACTTTTTTTTTAAGAAAAAACAAAACCCAAATCGGATTGCAAAATGTAAAATTTTAAAAAAATTCAGGTCTGATTTAAAAATAAAGTAACCCAAACCGGATCAAAATATATTATTTTAAATCCGCAATTCGCGCTGGGCTTTAAAATGGGATTTTTTTAAAAATTTTTAACCTCTCCTAGTCTTTGTAAATATATCAGACCTGTAGGTCCAGCCCGGGTACATGGGTCTGGGCGTATTTTCATTTTAAATATGGCCGGGTCGGGCCTAAGACCAAATACTTTAAATCGCCATTATTAGCTATAAAACTGAAGAATTATTTTTAAAAAAATATCCGGGCTGGGCTTGAAAATATAAAACCTGGGGTGGGACGAACCGAAAATATTTTTTTTAAAAAAATCCAATAGTATATAATATAGCTTGTAATAGGCTTTGTTTAGGAAATTTGGGTACAAGATAAATTATAATAAATAATTTATAACGTCTTGGTTTTATTTTAACGAAATATCAATTTTATAAAAAAATAGAAATGGAGATATACAATTTTAAAATGGGGTCAGGAGAGCATTTGCATCTTTATTCTTACCAGTTTTTTTTATCTTTTGTTAAAAAATTCATTAAGAGAGAATAACAAAATTTCTAGATAATAGCCATAATGAAACAAAATCTTTTTGATTGGACAATTAGATTTATATTTATCTAGTATAAGATTAAACTTTAATTTATGTTTTGTGATTGTTCTGTTGTTTCTTTAGCAGTTTTTCGCCATGAACATTTTAAAATTGCTTTACATAACTGCCTTTTAAATACTATTAATATAAATGGAATAAATTGTGAGATGATTATTATTTATAATACATTGTCTTAATATTTTTTATTCTTAGGAAATGCCCATAGCTTTGATCAAGCTTCCTCAAGAAAAAATAATTTGAATATAAAAAGACACCATGACTAAGATTTATTAATTATTATAAAAATATAAGATTATGTAATTATTTAGTAAACAATATAAGAAATTAATAAAAATTGGATAGAAATGCCAATCATTGTACTTTTGTGATATATTTTCATGTTCATCTATTTAATTTAATTTTTATATTTGTTTACAACAATCAAATTAACCCGAAAAACTTGGATCAGATTTGAATCTCATATTTTTTAACCCAAATTGAACAGATTTTTAATAATCAGTTTAAATTGACTAATGCTAAAAGCCAGTCTTTAAATAAGAAAACACAATTAGCTATCTAAAAATAGGTTTAAAATTTTCCTAATAAAATAAAAATTTGCGGTAAAAAGACTTAATATTTTAGTTTATAAACAAACAATAATTTTACAAAATGCAAATATAATTCAAAAGATATATTATATGGTTAACTTTTATATTTCTAATCCCATTTGTTCGAAAACGGCTAATTTATTAATTTTTTTTTATTTCCATAATATTAGCATAAAGAAGTGTGAATTTTGACTAAACAATATTCATGAAAAATTTGGTTTATGTTTTATGAATATTTTCATAAATAGTAAGTGATTTTCATTAATTATCGGCCTACAACAATTTTTAATATGCTAAAATTTAATCAATAAGAACGTATTTTGAGCTAAAAATTGGTTTCATGTTATTTAATGATAAGAATATGGATTAGTTCAGTTCATTTTTTAACTTCATTAGAAAATCTATTTTTTTAGAGATTTGATAATATCAAATCAATATGTTATACAAATGAAAAATATAAAGATTTTTGAGATATAACACATTTAACAAGGGGTAATCATCAATATCATGTGGATATATTTTAATTTTTTGGAAAAGAAGGGTTAATTTTCAAAACAGTACTAGAACCTGGATCCCTCAGAACCGGGATAAATGCAGGAACAGAAATCAGACTGGAAACCCTCATTAACGAGAAAAATCTAAGAATTGGAACAAACCTCGAACCATAACCCCTCCCTCCATTTAAGATTTATAGGAACGAGAACTATAGTTACATTTTCATAAAAATTTAGGACGAACCAGAATCCCCTTTTAGTCTAGGTAAACTCTAGTGAACATAAACACTATTATTATGATAGATTTATACTGGACTTCATGTGCGTTACACCACTGATGTTAATGCTTACAAGTAATTTTGAATTGAGGTATAGCTAAGCAGAAAAAGAAGCAAAACTACTTCTCAATAGCGTAACATTTAACCAAGGTAATTTTCCTCCAAGGCAATTTTAAAAAAAATTTATTTCGTATAAATAAATTTATATTATATTATCACATTAATTTAATGTTATATAATTCGTGTATTTAAAAAAACGTAAAACTTTGATCATTATAATATTGCAATGTGAATAAGATCAAATAAAAATATAAAATAATCATTTATATCTATCACAGATATCATTATATATATATATCACTTAATTCAGAGATAACAATTTGAATTTTGCGGTCAAAAATATTTGGCATTCATTTTTTTTAATCGCATCTCTTATTTATTAATATAAGGATATTGTTATGTAAGTAATTTTTAAATAGATTATTAAATGATATTCAAAATCCATTTAAATATTTCCATTTTCCCTACTTATAATTTTCCTTTTTTCGATTGCTCGTTTATCGAGTAATTAGATCTAGAAGATACCATCCTTTCATAGCCAAATATATTTTTTTCGGAGCTTAGGTCTTCACGACCTCTCATTGCTCCAATTTCGGACTCGTTAATCACATCGGGCCAATGGTCATTTAAACATGTCACGGCGGACCTCAACCCAGCTTGGACGGCCCCAGACATCGATCCCATATCTATATCCGCCGATTCTGACCCGGCAAAATACAAGCTTTAAGAGGGGATAAAATGAATGATGGAAAGAAAAATAAAATAATTTAAATTTAAGGTTACCTGTAAAGAAAAAATTCTATTTCGACCTATAAACAACCCACTTTTTTAATGATCTTTTAAAAAATATATAATAGGTTTGGGTTAATGACGCCTATTCAATACTAAACTTTCCGTGATGTGTTATTGTATTTATAAATACAAAACATGGGAAATAGTATAAATAAATGCAATACATATATTTTTAAAAGATTTAAAAGCTATTTTCATATCTTTGAAATAATAATCATTTCCATTAATTTAATTAAATATATACCATTTATCGTGAGGTTCTCTGAGGTTCAATAAATACTTGGAATATCCCGTAGATGGAACACCAACTGGGCCCCCATAGCACAAATCTTCTTCGCACCAATTCTTTTGAATTTTAAATTGTTATTCATATTTAAACAATATATTGTTAATTTTAAAATTTTCATAGTGTATTTAATTAATGTATTCCTTCCTATTAAAATCTATACACTTTTAAGATTATATTATGTTAATAGTTAATTTTAAGATGAATTAACAAATTCAGATGTTGTTTAGATTAGTAATGCGTCAAAGTTGTCAAGAGCTTCCAAGGACCCAAAACGAAGATTTTTTTACGTTACTGTTAAATTCTATGTTTTGGAAAGCGTTTCCCTAAAGATATCTTAGATTTAGTTCAATTTATAAATTATTACAAGGGTCGGCAAATTTTTAAAAATCGATTTTTTTGATATAAATCGCGATTTAAACCAAATACTAATATTTCAATAAGAAGTTACAGATATATTGAAAAATATCATACATCATAAATATTTATTATCTTAATATGATATTTCTCTGTAAGTAAAAAGTTACGAAGTTACAGATTTATATTGAAAAATATCATACATCATAAATATTTTTTACCTTAATATGATATTTCTCTGTAAGTAAAAAGTTACTGCTTCAGGAGATCCCGTCAGGAAATTATAGAAAGAATATATATATTGATAAATCATGAGCTAATTGATATTTTGTCAAATGAAAAGCCGACTATGAATCAAATATTCGATAAATGTGCAAAGTGTTTAAAAAATTTATTAAATAGTCGATATCAAGTGGAAAAATCATTCATTTTCTAAAACGAATACGATTATAAATATCCTTAAAAAAACTGTTAAACCAAATTTAAAATTATATTTTTTTGACTAATAAAATAATGGTGGTTTTATTATTTTTAATTTTAGCTACAATTAGGCCTGATATATTCGCCAAATTTAAAATATTCGTATACCCTTAATTCAAAATAATCTAAATTATTATTTTGTGGATCTAATCATTTTAAAGAATATTTGATTATTTGACAAAATTTAAAAAAAAAAATCATATCTAAATTAGGTGTTTATTATTTATTATTATATGGTTGTTTTTATACCCATTATCTTGAAATCAACAATTTAAAACTTTTACCGTATATTATTAGCCATTTAAGCCGATTTTTAGCCGGTTAAAAAATCGGATAAACCAAGTTTTAGCCGAAAACTGGCCTCGGTGACTTTCTTAAATAGATGTCAGCTCAAATTTGAAAGAAAATAATATAAATTAAAACGCCTTAATGTTGATTCTCCGGTAGGCATCTAAAGATTGAGCCGAAATTAGCCGACATTTATCCATTAACCAACTACTAACCTTCAAATATGTTTTAAATTAACAAACAATGAAACCAAAGTGGCAATGGAACTTGGCTAATTTTATATTTTCAACCAATCTCTTAGTCAAACATGGTAAAATTTTAGGCTGCATCTGACCCGTTTAATAAAATTATGTTTTCAGATGAAATAAAAAAAAATGAATATTAGTTAGCAGCACCATTTAATTCATAGCAAAACAATCAATTAGAGTATATTCCTAAATTTAGGAATTGTTTAGGAAAACTAGTTTTTTTTAAACAACTAAATTCAATTACCAATATCGAGTACATGAAAAGTTGCAATGCGCTGTAGCATAAAAAATCGATCTTCTAATTTTATCATCTAGATTTTGGGATATCAATAATTCTCTTATAAAATTTTAAAAAACAAATAGAATATTATTTTTTAAATTGTACTGTATTCTAATTATAATGATAAAATTATTTTTATGGTAAATACTAAAACTAAGTCTTTATTTTTCTGAACTGCAAACCCTGAGCCACCGGGTTCAAGATATTTTACTGAATCAGAACCCTTTGTTAAAAGGAGGGTTCAAAGCAGGGATGTGAACACGAACCCAGACCCTGAACCCTCCTGGTCCCTTGTATTTTGGCTGAACCCGAACCCGGACCCTTTTTAAAAGTGGAGGGTCCAAGGGTTCTAGGTGTCATAAAAAATTTTAAAAATAAAAATATTTTTTTAAAAAATAATAAAAATTTTTTAAAATCTTATTAACTATTTTAGTGGAATCATTTATTTTATCTTCGCGTTTTTCTTTCAATTTTCTTCCTTGACTTCTATTTTATTTAGAGATTGATATCATAATTTTCCAGTGTAATAACATTTTAATATGTAAATTTATTAATATGCTATGTTATAGAAATATGTTGATTATTTTGAAAGTGAATTATTTTGTAGTACAAGTAATAAAATGTTAATTTAAATGATAATTCACAACACGTTGGTCCTCAATTTGTATGATGCTAGAACGATTATTAAGTTTGAAAGATTTCTATGATGATTTTATTATAGGAGCATGTGAAGTCATTTTGTCGGAAGATGATGTGCCAAATAAAGGACCTTACTAGTGTATTAGTTCCTTTAAAAATAACAATATTAAGATTACAATCAGAACAATTATGTTTATTTGATTTTAAGGCATATGGATTAGATGCCGATTAGATTTAGAAAAATTTAGTCCTTTTTATATGAAATATTAGAAAACATGAAAATTCGAGAGCAACAATATTTGCAAAATAGTGTTGTATAAGCTTCTATATATTTAGACCCTCGATATCAAGTTTTATTGAGTATTTAGCAAAAACAAATGGCTAAAGACCATCTTAAGGATTTATGGCATAAGCAAAACTCCTTTATTTACAATATATTGAAAGCTACGACAATACTATTGGTTGTAGTGGTGATAATAATAATGATAGCAACATTGATGATCTTGAAATTTTACTTTTAGATAGAGAAAAAAAAATCAAATTATCATCAGATAGAAATGAGGATCAAAAAATGCCTATTGCATCTTTAATAGTAAAGTTCTCAGAAGTTAAGAGAATAAATAAGGATATAAATATTTTAAAATTCTGGGAAGAAAATTCTTCAATATATCAAGAATTATATATCTTATCTAGAATCTTCATGGCTGTACCGGCGACACAAGTACAATAATTTTATAAAGATAACTATCTATTTTAGGTAAGGATCGTGAATTTTCATCTTTGAAATATACATTGTCTACTTTACGTGGAAATCTCAAGGATGATATTTTAGAAGATATTATGATTGTGCGAGAATAAAACATTTAAAATATAAATTATTTCATTTTTAAATTTTTCATTTGTAAATTATGAATATGTATAGAAGTATAATAATAAATGAATATAAAAAAAATCTTATTTTGAATCATTATTTCTATGTTCCCAGAACCCTGGACCCGGGTCCATTCAAATTTTATTCCTGTACCCGAACCCGGACCCTTTTTTTTGTCGAAGAGTTCACATCCCTGGTTCAAAGCCTTGAATTGAACAAACTAATTTTCTTTAGAATATTAAATAATTTCATTATATTGAGATTAGAATTATATAATTAACAATTAATTATGTCAAAAATAAAAACAATGAAATATCAAATATTTTTTTTTATCTTATACGTTATGCATGATTACTAGTACAGTTTAGTTTTTTCATATAAGAATTATTTAATTCTAAAATAATCTAGGTCTTTGCCTTTCCTTACATTAAGTATTTTGATCAAATTTAGTAAATAGAATTTTATTAAAAATAGTGACTGATTTTTTAAAAAAAATTGGGGTGATTTAAATCAAATTGATTTTTATTGGCCAATCCTTATTATTACATATAAACATCCATTAAAGACATTCTCTAAATATTAACATTAATATAAATTTGAGTTTCGGAAACACTTTTCAACACTCAAAATTATCTATTAACTGTAAAACTTTTATTTATATAGTATATTAATTTTATAACAAAATTATTTTTAAATTTGATTTAAAAGTGTTTTAATAATAAATAATGGGTAGTAAAATTATGTAAGCAAACTGGAATAAAAGAGGAAAAACGAATATTTATGAAATGAACCATTATAAATATTATATAAATATTATGTAATAAATTAAATTTTTATAATATTTCCCCGAATGTTCTAGAACTGTTTCGGGAACATCCCTGAAATCTCATTTCCCGTCCCTGCTCGTTCCATAATTTCCCCAGAACGTTCTGATCTATGTCATTGAGATCTTCTAATTTCCTTGGAACATATCACCGCCTGAGAATTAGGTTAATTTATATTCATTTTTGTCAAAAATGATTTTTTAACATAAATCAATTTTTTATAATTATACTATTCTATTTACATAAAAATCAATATTTATAAAATAAGTTAATTTATAGAATAGGTTATATCATCATATTGAAAATGATATAAACTTAATTTTTAAAACTGATTTCCTGTAAAATTACAAAAGTTGGAGATGGCATATTCAAATTCTTAGGCGACGATATACACAAATATTTTGATAACCTTTTCAAAGTAGTGTAAAGATTCTTTAGCTTTAGTAGTTTGCCACACGAAATTGAGGTAAGAAGTAATTGCTACGAATCGTTCCTTTTGCTAAAACATAATAAATTCATCTATAATTAGCGTTGCAACCAAACGTAGATCTAAAAAATTTGTAACTTTTGTTTCTATTTTTTGGTTTGATTTTGGTTTTAGCGAGAACGAGATATATTATTCTTTAAAAAAATGAATTAATCAATTCCACTTTCCCTATTTCCATTAGAAAAATTATAATTTTATGAGTTTTGATTGAAACGTAAAATAAAAAAATTTAACTAATTGAAAAATTATAATTAAATTCCGAAAAACAACCATATGAAATTATATTCAAATCTTGATCACTATTTATTTAATTTAACAAAAATATTGTATTTATAGATAAAAGCCAAAAAAATATAAATTATACAAATAAGTGCGTTTTTTCATGCAAGCTACATGTTTCTAAATATATTAGGTAAAATTTTCAACCATCATAATTAAGTATTTTAGGAATGAAATGCAAGGTGCCGACCAACCCTGTAAAATATCATCCCCGACCTCCTATGATTGGTATTTAAATACATAATGTTGTAAATGTAATTATATCGTAAACCATATATTCAAACATAAATATATGATATAGTAGATAGTACCGGTTTGTCCTTCCAAAACAGGTAATTATCACCGCCTATGAACCCACTTAGGGACCCATACTTAATTCTTTTTCCCAAAATCTTTTCATCCGTATCGCCCTTTTCTGTTCCATCATCTTCGCCAGGTCCCGAATCAAATACACAATCGAAGGGAGCTACCGGAGTGGCTCCCTTATATCTAAACACCTCCGTTTTACTGCAAAAGTAAGAATATCTCAGATCTAATTCCATTTCCGACTCCTCCAATGGTGTTGTTTCGTCCTCGAGGAAGTTTTTTCCGTAAAAGTAAGGTCTTTCTTTGGGACAGTTAACTACTAGTCCGGAATATTTTAGATCGCGCCAGAAAGGCTATAGCAATGTTTAAAAAAGCGAATAAATGATTTTGTAACATAATGTTGTTGCTTTCAAAATCTAATTGATTTTTAAGGTAAAATAAATAAATTGATAAGATAAGAAACAATATAAATATTTTTTAAAAATCTTAAGAGATTCATAATATTTTGTTCTTATATAAATAATCGGGATAAAATTTTTAATAATTATACTTGTGGTCGGGGCCAGATATTATTTAAAAATATATTAAAAAATAATGCTATATACGTAATATCTAAGAGCTACAAATCAAATCACTACATTAAAATACTATAAAGTGACAATTTGGAAGCTATCTTATAACAACAGCTCCTTAATAAAAATGACATTATGAAGCCAAATCCTTTGATAATCTTAAAACAGGAAAGTTGATATGACATAAAATGAATAAATATAAATAACCGTGGGAAATACGATAACGAATTTTATCACATGACCTGGTTGACAATGTTGGAACAAAGAACTTAGCCCTTTTGATAATGGTGCTATCAGATCAAATTTGATGTCTTCTGATTAAAATAAATATATAGTGCATATGTTCTACTATTCAAACTTAACTAATCTGGCTATAGTTTTGGGAATTTTCCCAGGTATTAACAGACTATATAAAAAAAACTAAAAAGTGCCTTAGAGAGGTTTTGTGTTAAATCTCGATATAAAATTAGGTTATATTTATATATATTATATAAAATTTCATCTAATCTAAGATGAATATTATTTTGAAATTTTATCCAATAATAATACAATCCAGTAAAGTTACTCTACAGACAGACAGTCAAAATTCAATATAAATAAGCATCAAAATTCTAAATTTTTATCTTCTATTTTAAAAATTATTTTAATAAATAAATTAAATAATTTATTATTATCATAAATAAACCATTAAAATTATTTTTAGCTTAAATATTGATTAGTATTGAAATCAAAGTATTTTAAAAATTTCTGGTTTAGTATAATCATAATCAGTGAAATCTCAAAAGACATAATAATTAAGCCATTATGCAATATTTAAGGTGTGGGGCTCATCGTCTAGAGATTTTCCTCCCTTTAATTGTAATACTTATACTATTTTCCCCATTTTTGAGTATTTTATTAAATTCTTTCAACTCATTTTTGCTTATTTACTCAAACTAAAGTTTCCTCTGATTTTCGTTACTTTTAAATTATTTCCCCCATTAAAAATATTTTAGTATATTTGTTAAAAATTTAATAGGATTATTTTACGTTTTCGATTACTTTTATATATTTTCCAATTTTTTTTTTAGTATTTTATAAGGAAGAAAAAAAAAGAGTATTTTCAGAAAAAAACAAAAAATTATTTTTTATTACTAATACAATCTTATGGAAAATTTAATCTACCAATATTTTTTTAGAAATTTTTCATTAAATCATTATATCTCGCTCATTTTGTTAAATTAAGTATATAAGAAAATAAAATCAACTGCCATTTTTTATAAGAAAACTATTTTATGAATTTAATTTTTGAGTGTTTTAAGATTTAGTTTTTTTAATGTATTTTTATATCTCTGGTATTTTATAATTAATTTTAATCTAATTTTGCATATTTCCACCCATTTTTTGGCGAGTATTTAATGATTTCTTAGCCTTTAAGGTATTTTTTAACTTATATTTTGTATTTTTTGTATGTTATACTACGGCATACTAACGAAATCAAAAGTTAGATCTAATAACTAGAATATTTATATATCATAATCCCATTTTTAAGAATACCCTGAGCCATCCCAAGACAATAAAATTCAACTTATTGACTCAAAAATACTGAACATATTTCATGGTCCCCTCTTTTATGAAAAAGATCTGGAACTCAAATTCAAACGGTATTTTCTACTTCCCTAATGATTAAAGCTTGCTAAGAAGTTGCAAGCATTTTCCTCATATTCCCTTTGAATTTGAACTAATTTAAGAGACTTGCGGTACAATCGTTACTATCATTCTCTCCTATTTAACCTTAGGATTCAATTATATTTTTTCATAAACATTTATTTGTAGCGACTTTTATATTGTTTACCACCCAGAAAAAAATATGGCCAGGTTAAAAAATAAAACTAAATGAAAAATAGTTTAAAAAGATGGGAATATAAAAATTGAAAACTAATAAATGAAAAATAGTTTTAAAAGATGGGAATATAAAAGTTGTTTCAATAAGACTCTAATGGCAATTTATTAAGCAACAAGTATCTGGAAGTAGCTAAATTCAAAAGGAATGTGAGTAAAGAAATTGGATTTGTCTCGTGATTTTTCTAAAAATGTTTTTATGAGAAACGTATTCTAGTTATGCGATCCTCGTGGTATGCCGCATCATAGAATTAAGAAAATAAAAATTAAATAATACTTTTAAAATGAAAAATAAAATAATTGGGAGGGGGGTTGGGGGGGGGGGGTAGTGTTATAAGTCAATCAAATGAGAGAAAAAATATCATTAAAAATTTCAAAATTTGAAGATAAGGTAAAAATTAAGGTATATCAGGCTAAAAATGATCAATTACTCACAAAAAAAAATAGATGGAATGCAAAATTAGATAAAAAAAAAATTAAGTTAAAAAAATTTTAAAATACTTTAAAAAAAATAAACGGAAAAAAATATAAAGGTAACCCACACTGAGAAAAATCAGTTTTAACTTTAAAAATATAATGTTCTAAAATGGAAACAAGGGATTCAAAAGCAACGGAAATGAGAGAAAAATCAAAATAATCAAAAATGGGTTGAAATATAAAAGAATATAAAAGTGGGAAAAGGAAATGAGATCAATATTTTATTTAGAAAAATACTCAAAAATAGAAAAAATTTATAAAAATATTGGAAAAATCTATTAAAACTTTTTAAAAAAATCATAAAATACTCTAAAATCTGGAAAAATTCCTAAAATAAAAATTAGCAAAATAGTTTGTATATTAGCTAAGTTTGTATATATTAGTTGTATCACATATATAAAATAATTATGATAAATATTTCAATTCGATAATAAAATAATAAGGAGCTACATCTTTTAAAATAACGAAAAATGGAGCCGGTTAAGAATATTTTCTTTCAAACTTTCCTTTTTTTCTCTCTCTTTATTTATCTTTCTTCATTTCTTTCTTTGGCAATTAATCATCAGACCAGCGGTCTTATCAAAAAATTATCAGAAAAGTTTCTTCATTCTTTTAGAATAATCAAATAATTTTTTTAAAAATCGCTTGCCAAAATAAAATCGTATGAATAAATAAGTAAAGTTCATATTTAAAAAATTTGTCATATATTTGACAAAAAGCACTTCGATTACTTAAGCACACAGGAGGAATAGCCATTATAACTGTTTTGCTTTCAAACACTTCCCCATTCCGACAAGTTATCGTAAAATTTTTGGTATCTTTATCCTTTTAAAATAAAGAGTTTTTCTTTTTATAAATTTAATAAATATTAATCACTTTTTCCTTAAACCTTCAATTCTCTAGATTCATAAATCAAGATCACAAAATATTCTCTAAAGATATTATTAATCAGGGATGTGAACCCGAACCCTCGCATTTTGGCTAAACCCGAACCCTTTTTAAAAGTGGAGGGTTAAAGAGTTCTAGGTGTCATAAAAAATTTTAAAAATAAAAATATTTTTTTAAAAAATAATATAAATTTTATTAACTTGTTTTGTGGAATCATTTATTTTATCTTCGCGTTTTTCTTTCAATTTTCTTCCTGGACTTCCATTTTACTTAGAGAAGATAAATTATTTTCCAGTGTAGTAATATTTTATTATGTAAATTTATTAATATGCTATGTTATAGAAATACGTTGATTATTTTGAAAGTGAATTATTTTATAGTTAGAAGTAATATTTTAATTTAAATGATAATGCACAACACGTTGGTCCTCAATTTGTATGAAGCTAGAACGATTATTAAGTTTGAAATATACTGTAATGATTTTATTATAGAAGCATGTGAAATTATTTTGTCGGAAGATGATTGGTGACAAATAAAGGACCTTACTAGTGTATTAGTTCCTTTAAAAATAACAATATTAAGATTACCAGAACAATTATGTTTATTTGATTTAAGGCATATGGATTAGATGCCGATTAAATTTAGAAAAATTTACAGTCCTTTTTATACGAAATATTAGAAAACATGAAAATTCGAGAGCAACAATATTTGCAAAATAGTGTTGTATACTTCTATATATTTAGACCCTCGATATCAAATTTTATTGAGTATTGAGCAAAAACAAATGGCTATAGACCATCTTAAGGATTTATGGCATAAGCAAAACTCCATTATTTACAATATATTGGAGGCTACGACAATCCCTATTGGTTGTAGTGATTAGCAACATTGATGATCTTGAAATTTTACTTTTAGATAGAAAAAAAAAATCAAATTATCATCAGATAGAAAGGAGGATCAAAAAATACCTATTGCATCTTTAGTAATAAAGTTCTCAGAAGTTAAGAGAATAAATAGGGATATAAATATTTTAAAATTCTTGGAAGAAAATTCTTCAATATATCCAGAATTATATATCTTATCTAGAATCTTCATGGCTGTACCGGCGACACAAGTACAATAATTTTATAAAAATAACCATCTATTTTAGGTATGGGTAGAACGTGAATTTTCATCTTTGAAATATATATTGTCTAGTGGGATTCTCAAGGATGATATTTGAGGATATTATAATTGTGCGAGAATAAAACATTTAAAATATAAATTATTTCATTTTAAAATTTTTCATTTGTAAATTATGAATATGTATATATTTAAGTATAATAATAAATGAATGAAAAAAAATCTTATTTTGAGTCATTCTTTTTATGTTCCCTGAATGCGGACCCTGGACCCGGGTCTTTTCAAATTTTATTCCAGTACCCGAACCCTTTTTGTCGAAGGGTTCACATCCCTGTTATTTATCTCATCTTCAACCTTATCTCGTGAACAATAGATAACTTTAAAGTGATAACTTTCTGTTAAAACTTATGAATTAAAGCTAAATTTTATAGGGTCATTTATATACTTTAAAAAAATACGTTTTCTTAATAAAAATTAAAATTGGATATTTTTATGTATATTTTAGTGTCAATGTGTTTTTGCCGGCAATGGTTATTCTGGAATACATTTCCGGTAAATTTAAAACGCGCTCAAAAAACGATCTAAAGTTGAAAAAAAAAATATGTTGCCGGAAAAAACACATTAACGCTAACATATACATATTTCCGCTGAATTATTTTTTGAGAAAACTTGTTTATTTAAGTTATTGAAATTAATAGTTGCTACCTGTTGTCCTCACATAGAATTTAAGATTTATTACAATTAGGTTTAATTCAAAATATTATGCTATTAAAAAAAATGATATCCATAAATTTATTTTCCTGACAACTTTTTTTTATTACATCCGTTTCATTCATTATTCTCATAGAAATTTTAATGAAACTTCACTATAAAATTGTTAAAAAGCCCGATTTTGGTCGTTTTTTAAAAACGAACCGATTATGATTTCAGCCAAAATAATATTATGTGAGCCAGGAGATTTTGCTCATAGATGGCAGAAAGGTTTAAACTTTGAACCTATTTTACCAAATCTTGAGCTTACTTTATATTAATTTGGCTAAAATCTTGCAAAAATGCATCCAAATTGGGCTTTTTAACAACCATACTTCACGATTCCATTTCTTTTAAATCAAAGAACTAATCATATCTCTCTGAACGTTTTTAAAAAATACAAATAGGAGAGTATTTTATTATCAAATAAAAGAAAAATAAACACCTGATAGATAGATTCAACTCTTTTTTCGTACGAAATTTTTAGGTTCTGTTTAGATGATAATGATTCGACCAATTTGTCACATATTGTATGTGCGCCTTCCTTTTGTTTTTTTTAAAAAAAGGGTTAAATAAAACAACCTTTTTCTAATGTTTAAATGAACTATTTTATCTGAAATCAGTTAGCTAACTCAATATTTTATCCAGAAGACTTTGCTCAGAGTTGGCATAAAGTTTTAGACATAGATTAGCGAAATCTCGAAACTTAGGCAATATTTTTCTGGCTAAAATATTGAGTTAGTCGTTTTTAAAAATTGGCTCAAATCGAGCTGATTAACAACACTCATCTTTTCTATTTGTCAGAGGCGGCGACTAATAAAAATGTCCTGAGAGGCAGAATTTTTTTAAAAATATTTGTTCCAAACTTGAACAAAAAACTATCAAATTTTAATTAATGTAATAAATAATAGCAAAAAAAGACTTGTAATTTTAATTTTGTATAGAAAACCTTATTTTTTATTTCCCTTAAAGTTTTTTTATAATATAATAAATGCTATTAATTTTCAAGGTAAAATGTGTTATTTAAATAAAGTTCTTTTGCTTCTTCTTTTATTAACATTTAAAAAAGCGATATGATTTGGCTGTTTAATCGGTGAAGCATAAACAAAATTTAAGACGTATTAGTCCTGAAAATCATCGTCCTGCAGAACACAAGCACTTGCGCGAATAAAAAAATCGAAATAATTTCTTTCTTATTTTGTTCTTTTAATATATCTCTATAAAGAATTAGACCTTCCATTTCAAAATCATCCCCATAGAATACTGAAACATGATTTACATCAAGTTTTTGAATCCTAAATTTCTCTTAAATTGATTAATGATTCATTGCTGGTTTTTTGAAACGATTTTTATACATGCAAATAGTCTGATCTATTTCATAATAAATTCATCTCTGGCCCAAAATGATGGTATAAATACGAAGAATTCGAGCCTTTTCGTACCTTACAAGGCGTTTCTTTTTGTCTCTTTTAAATGGGCTCCTCTAAACTTAATTCATTTTCCTTCAAATTAACATCTCTTCAAAAACATATCTAAACTATCATCAAATCGTATCGCATCTATAATTTTGATGAGGATTTCTATTTCATATTTAACATTTTGAAAATGTAATGAAGAACTTTGGATATCAGCATTTAAAACTTTTACTTTCTCAATGTTATCATCATCTTAAGAAATAAAAAGTTTTCAAAAAGCGTTATTTAGTTTTTTTTGCTTTTGTAGCAACCTCGCTGCGAAATGGATTGATAATTTCTATTAAAGGTTTTATGATTATTTCATGATCCCTTTCTATCGATTTTAGCGATATTATTCGCATACACCTGCGTGTAGGGCATAATTGCCTTAATGAAGTTGAACCATCATTTCCATTTTGGATGGAACGAAATATCTCAATGCGTTGGTAAACCATTTATTTAATACTATAAAATAGAGAATTTTTGCAATAGTATTAAAATCGTGTATCATAAGATTTAATTAGTGATGTTAAAAGTTACTTTTGAAACATAACTAGTTACAGTTACTAGTTACATTGGCAAAAACATAACTAGTTACAGTTACTAGTTACATTTTTACAAAAGTAATAGTTATTAGTTACAGTTATTTTCAAAAGTAACTAGTTACTTACTTTATACATCATTCATATGCGCATTATTTATTTATTGAATGCATTTATTTAATATAAAAAAATTTAGGATAAACAAAGTATAATCAGTTATTTAAAATAATATACAATTTATTTATATAAAAAAATATCGCAAAATTGAATATTTACATCGAATATAAAAATATATATTTGCATTGAAAAAAAACATTTATTTTTCATAAAAATTAGAATCTAATAAATGTTTATTTGCTTTTAACAACAAATTAATTTCAAAGTTATTATCTAGGAGACGTGCTCGTTTATCTCCAAAAATGAGCTTACCTAAACTGAACAAGCACTCTACGGGAGCACTTGATGTTAGAACAACATTATATTTAATAAAGAGTAATTTTAACTTTGGAAAATCGTTATATAAAGAAAAAGTATTGTTATTAGATTTGATAAAGTTTTCTATATGTTCATTATCCAGAATATTTGGCGCTTTAGGTCAAAAAATCCAACTACATCAAGTGATGTTGGTTTTGAGCATGATTCATTCGTCTGGGATTCACTTTGAGGTATTAAGGTATTTATTAAATTTAAAATTTCCTCCTTTTTTGATTTATTCCTTTCTTGCCTAATCCAAGGCCAGTCAGTTTTAAATAAAGGGTGAAGAATTGCAGCAATGATGTTGTCATTATCATAAAGATTATTAAACCTATAACATGATATTTTTGTTAGACTTGGTTCTTGTAAGTAATGATTAATAATTTAATATTAAATTCTAAAATAATCTGTCTTTGTTTTTCCTTATACTAAATTTAAAATTTTTTTTATTACGTATGATATGAAGTTCCAATGCTTGTTACTTGACGGAAAAAAATATATTGTGCTACATTTGTAAATAAATATAATATTAAAATTTAATTACTTGAATTTGCTTACAAAATTATGAAGCCCAGCAGCAATGTAACAATTTAAGAAAAGAAAATCAATTTGAACGGGAAATTATAACAATCAGACATTTTCACAAAATTTTAAATTAATAAATTTAATTTAAAAAATAAATTTAATTTAAAATTAATTTATCACAACATATTAAAAATAAAATTAATTATTTGAATATATCTTTAAAAGTAACTAGTTACTTTTGGCAGTTACATTTCAAAAATTATAACTAGTTACAGTTACTAGTTACAATTTTAAAAATATAACTAATTACAGTTATTTTTTAAAATGTAACTAGTTACAAGTAACTAGTTATCTTAATATCACTAGATTTAATGTATAACCTGCACACTGTACATAGATTGCTCTAGATTCTTCATTATAAAGTTTAGAGGCTCCATTATAACATTGAACTTCTGCATTTTTGGATGCATAAAGATAATCTAAGTAATATATCTTTAATAACATTTTAAAAAAATTTCAGGATTTTTTTCCGATACTTCATTCATTAGTTATTGATATCATATGATATCAACTTATAGTTACTGTAATTCAACTATTCATTCAATTACAAATTATCTTCGAAAACCATTGTATATTTAAACAAGATTTTTCTAAAAATTAAGTTGTATTAATATTTCATATTACCTGAGTTCTCTACAAAATAAATATTTTGTGAACAAACAATATATTTGATTTATTTCTTCTAAAATTAGCATAATGAGATTTAAAGATTTTATTATGTTTTTTTATATGGGGGGCTCAATGGAGGCGACGCTTCCCTATTAAAGTCGGTGTCAATGTTATTGATTAATTATTTCTAAATTATAAACGAGTGAAACTAAATATGACAGATTTATACAAGAAAAATATTGAATAGTTTATAAATATATAATTAACAGCGTTGTTAAAAAGAATACTGATGGCCACAACTCGAAAATGGTAACGGGATATGATTTAATTTAATTGCATGAATTGTTTAATGGAAAAATAATTTAACAACACTTATAATTGATAATCAAGTAATATTATATAGTAATTTAATTTTATGAAATTATGCATAGTGTAATATTATTGAACCGAGTTGTAGTTTGCATTATTATTTTCATCTTTTTATTAAAATATAATTTTATTAATATTAATAATGCAAATTCATTTAATAATATGGCCAATAAATATCTAAACTTATAAACATTTTTTAAAAAAAATTCAGATTATAGAACCATTGGCTAAAGCATTTAAGATCCTTAAAGGCCTCTCCGAATATTTATAAACTCACTTAGGAATTGAATGATTTTGCGGATTTCGAGTCATGATGTCAACCTCTTGCGCAGTCATTTATGAATTAATAAAATATCATTCTCAAAATCTTTTTGCAAATTTTTATATGTTTACAATAGTATCCTAGTTGCTATGATCTATCCTTCATTGAAATTGGAATAGATAAATGAAGATGAAGATAAGAATACAAAAAATAACTTATTTTATTAGAAAAATAACTACCCAAAAACCTGTATATTTCGATCTAAAAAGTCCTCCAGTAATTTAAACGATTTTAGGGAACTCAATCAAATTGATATTCAAAAAAATAATTTACTAGACAAATTATTTACAATAAAACTATATATATTAAATACTTTCATTTAATACAATGTCACTCTCATCCATGTTCCAATTGAAAGCTTGTTTAGTATTGCTAAACATATGATTCAAATTTTAAAAAGTTGCTAATTTGAAAATAATAATAGGTTAAATCATAAAAGAGGGTAGAACGGCGACTAAACGATAAATGAAGTAAAACGGTAGTCACTAAAAACCTTATCATCTGGTAACAAAATGTAAAATTTTGATAGAATACTATCCAATCATAAATATTTCTGAGCGGCTTGTTTAAAATAAGTTTGGCATTTATGAAATGTCTAAACTATCAGATAAAAGCTTTCATAAACTTCTATTCTATATAGAAACACTTTATAGTTGTTTAAGTGAACTTAGGGGCATTGGGGTAAAGCGCCAATGGCAAGCACTGTTATAACCCCCCCCCCTCCAGTCAATGACGATAATGCCCCCTTCATAAAAATAAGGAAATATAAATAAATATTAGCAAAAAGGGAAATTATAAGAATACCCTTACTCTATTTACATTTTTCACCGGACCCCTTTTATTCTAATGACGATAACATCTTCACAACTCACTCCTTCAATTTCAATGATGATATTTCCAGTGGTAGAAGTACAGAGGTAGCATACTTTTATATACAAAAGTTTTAAAAAGGTGATAAAGGGGTTTGCAATATGCGGATCAAATTATAAAGCCAACAGCTAGCGAGGAATGGTTTAATGGGACAAAATGTATTGAATGGACCTATTTTAAGTGTACAAATAATGAAAGTCATTATATATGTCCATATTACTATGAATAATTATTTTAAATTAATAATATCATTTGCTCACAACAGCTGGCGAGGAATGGGTTAATTGGACAATATGTATTGAATGTGCCTATAGTGCACAAATAATGAAAGTCATCAGATTAATTTTTTTAAATTAATGGTATCATTTGCTCACTATGTTTATATGATAAATACTAAGTAAAATATGAGGTTAAAGTTTCATCATATTTTGTGGTAATGGTTCTACTTGAATCTCTGTGTTTTAAACTGATAATGGGATAAATGAAATAGACAATTTGCCAATATTAATAAAGGTGAGGATAGCTGTAATCTAAAACACATGTCGTTTAGCCTATAAATATGATTTTTTTCTTACACCACATTTATATAATATTAATTAAAATGAAAAGAGAGATTTTTAAACAAAATTTGGAACGGTTTGAGTTTATTTTAAAGGAAAAAAAGAGGAAACTAGCTTTTTTTTAAATGGAGGGTTAACAAATAATTCTGATAATTAAAATATATTGTATTATTTAACATAATCTAATAAAATTATAAGTGTCAGGAATCAAGATATAATCTTACTCACTTTGTTATCTTAAGCAACACATGATATCATATAATATACTTTATTTAATGGTCTCAGTAACCCTTTTAACACCTCTTTTAGCAAAATATAACGATTACCTTAATTCTCATTCTTTTTGGAGCATCTCCCTTTAATTTAGCGGCAAGAAAGGCGTCATATATACCAGATCCCTGATGAGAAGTTAAGGGGAGACTGTAAAGGGCGTAAAACAAAAACGGGACTCGTTTGGACTCAGTACCGAATAGCACCCTATGAGTTACGTTCATTACATCTATCCTTAATTCTAAATAAATATAACATTTTTTTTAAAAAAAAATTTCATCTTATGGATATTTGAAAATTTATGTACAGAAATTTGGCTAAAAATTATTTTCATTCGGACTTTATTGTGTAAGACAATCCTATATGGTAATTTTTTGATTAAAAAAATTAAATAATTTAAAAAAATAAATATACTGGGAGTCATTGCTCAAAGACGTTACAATATATAGTGACGTCTTTAATGCCATTGATATAAATTAATAGATAACCACATATAAATTATCTGGTAAATTATAAATTAGCTTTCTAGTGTCTATTATATAAGAAAAATTCTTCTATTTTATCTATGGATTTTTTTTTATTATTTTGATCCCAATTTGGGTAACGCATTTTAATTTATTTATAATTTTATTATTACAAATCTAAATATCTATTCTAAACGTTATTATATTTTGTTATAAATATCATATTTCAATTTAAGAATATCGATTTATATCTTTAATTTATTTTAAACCTTCAATTACTTTAAATTTTATATTTATTCACCCATAACTTTCCCCTCCTTGAAAATCGTGTTCGAACATTTAAAATAAGCGTAAACTTGAGGCGGAACAGTTAGGTTTAAACTAGGGATGTACCGATATTTTTATCGGATCGGATCGGGTCGATATTTTAACCACTTATAATATCGGTTATCGGCAAATATTATAAAATTTTCCGATCCGATCCGATATAAAATGGCGTCTTTAAAAATGTTATAAAATTTTTAAAAAAAGTTATGTCTATAAAATCATATATTTTTATAAATAAAATCGAAATCCATTATGTATATTTTTTTAATAATAATAATTAATTAATAAACATTCTGCCATATTGTTATTTTTTTGCGCATTCTGTTTATAAAAGTGTGCGATATTCAGAATCTGTTTTTAGTGAAATGGTTATATTGACAGTTACCATCGCCGCAGTCTGACCTCTGATAAATTGGAAATTTTGGTATTTCTAGAAAGAAATCTTCGATATAATATTATTTTAAATATTTATTTCAAATTTTATAATATATTTGTTTGTTACTTTGTATATAGATTAATGTTATTGCTTATTATGTATGTGTGATTTAAAAATAAATTTTTTTATATACTTATAGAATTTGAATTGAATATATACTATAACTAACCATTATAATATATTTAAATGACATAAGTTATGGTATAGTTAAATCATAGATGTGATACTAATAAAAAGTACATATTAAAATTATAACCATTGGTATCTTTACAGAATACAAAATTGATATGATATCGGATCGGTAATCGGCCGATATCAATTTAATACTGGGAATATCGGATCGAATCGGCCTCCAAAAAGTGGTATCGGTACATCCTTAGTTTAAACTATCACAATAGAGGTTTGCAAATCCCGGCCCATTTTGGCCTGTTAAGAATATTTTCGTAAGTTGTTTTATTTGGCCTAATTTACCTGATCTATTATAGTTTTCTAAAAAAAAAATTGGTTAGTCCAACCTGTTATTATTTATTAAAAAATTTGCCTGATCCTAACTTTAAATAATTAAATTAGGCCTGGTCAATTAAATTTTTATGAAAGTCCGCCTAGCCCATTAAATATCTTAATATAAATTTTCTGGCCATCACATTTTTAATATCTATCTATATCTAATTTTTTCCCAATGCCAATTAAGGTTTTATCATATAACTCTTCTCTATTGCTATCTATTTCTACAACCCTTTTATAAATTAATACCTTTTACATCTGTATTGTGCATTGATAATATAATCATATCACAAATAGGCTATTAAATTTTTTTGCAAATTTATTTATTATATTATTTATAGATAAGTATTTTAGTTAGACAATTCTTAAAATACAAAGATATAAGCAGATTGTAATTTATTTTAAAATAGTTTTAATAAAATAAATTCAAGAAAATAATATCAAAATTTTAATTCCCAGTCCAGCCTATTAAAATTTTATTAAAAAACAGGGATTTGTGAGGTCCTGCCTGATATATTATGTATAAATTGTCTGGCCCTAAAAAAATTATGTATTAATTGCTTGTCGATTATATTTTTTGCCCAGCCCAGCTTGTTATAATTTTTTTTTAAAATTTTAGCCCATCTACAGTCTAAGCTTTTGGATAGGCCAAGTTTTGCAGATCTCTAATAATATATAAATATTAATTTTATTTAATATAAATGATAAAAATTTTTAACTTAAAAGCTGATATAAGGGGGATAATGAGATAAAGCTTTAATGTGTAAACTTAGAGACTAGCATGCCCTAGATATTAAGGGCTCAATAAATTATTTGATAATTATTCAAGATATTTAAATAGTAGTAAATGGTATATAAATCAAAAACATACAAGCCTGGAATAGGCCATAAATAGATAAATCTTAAAAATTTAGTCTGGGCTCAAAATTTAAAAAAAAAACATTGTCCTGATGTTGCAATCAATAATGCAATAGTTATTTTTTAGAGAATGTTTAGACAGTATTTCAAACAATATAAATTATTTGCACTTTTGTTAGAAATGGATCATAGGTTCTGGTTCTCTTAAATTTTAAAGGGCTCTAGGTTCTGACTCCTAGATTCACCCCTATTTTAAGAACTCCAGATTTTGGGGTTAAATACTAATTAATTAATAGATGAATTTTAGTATATAATAATAAAAATATGATAAAAAGAAAATAAGCTTTATTTATTGAAAAGTTTAAATTAGGATAAAATTACTTGATAACAATAACCAATTTATAAATTTTCTTGAATAAGATTTCATAGTCATTACATCAAGATTATCAATCATATTATAATTGTATTTTTTATATAAATTCAAATGATTTAAAATCTTTAGAATTAAGTTAACCTAATAATATTATTAAAGTTAATAAAATACCAGATATTACTTTCCATAAGTAAATTTTCCATAAAATATTTGATATGAAATTAAAAAATGTATTTCCATTTCCTTCTATAAATTTTAAAGATTTTCTATCAATGTTTATATTTTTTCCTTGAGATATGATATTTAAATAAGATGGTAGAAAAAATTCAAAATTCCATATGTCCCTTCCAGTATGATTTTGAGTTTTCAAGTCAATTTTTAAGTCAAATAATAACCAATCAATATGAACCTGATCTCTAAAAAATGATCATGGTTAAATAAATATGCAATATATATTAGTACCTTGATATCCATTCCCCTCCTAACTCTAGGTTATTTAAACTTTCACCATATTTAAAGGAAGGTGTTGAACACAAACGTCCTCCACATTTATCTAGAAGGTTTTTAAGCAGCATAATAAAATATTCTAAAACCTTTCCCCTCTAGTATAAGTAAGCTGATTTTATCACTTTTCTTTCTGGTATAATAAGCAGCACTCAATCCTGATAAACCAGCTCCGATGATACAAATATCATATGTTTGAATCATTTTTGTATTTATTATAAAAATTTTGAATCATTTTTGTATTTATTATAAAAATGATTGATGACATTCATATTAGTCATATGTTATTTAGGTCAATAATATATAAAAAACATTGTGATGAGTTATTTATGAAATATGTATAAATAAAAAGATTTGGATATGTAAAAATAAAATGGATTAAATTGGTTCCTGGATCTTCTATCTTGAATAGAGGTAGGGGGAGGTTGGGCAGAAATTTTGACATTTTTAGACGTTAGATGGGCGAGTCCAGCTCCACTCAGACCAGTTTTTAATAACAATGGGAGTCTCAGATTGTGCGCCGACTTTAAAGACACAGTTAACCCAGCGCTTGAAGATTTCAAATACCCCATACCTAGAATTAACGATCTGATTGCCAAGTTAGCTGGAGGAAAAAAAATTTAGTAAAATTGATTTCAAAGATGCCTTCCTGCAAATTCCTATTCACAAAGACTCTAGATATCTGCTAACTATATCCAAGCATAAAGGATACTTATTTACGAGACTTCCGTTCGGACTGAAAACATTTTCAGCCATATTCCAACAGACTATGGAACAGGTTTTCGGAGATTTAAATGATGTATATTCTACATTGACAACTTGTTAATTACAGGTGATAACGATGAGATACATTTGGAGAACATTAAAAAGAAAAGATAATCAAGTATGGATTAGCCCCCAATTTCGACAAGAGTTTATTCATGCAAGATAAAATACGCTTTTTCAGACATGATATAGACAAACATGGTATACATCCCAACGATGATAAAATAATAGCAATTATTGATATGCCGTAACCGAAAAATTCAGAAGAATTATCTACTTTCGTAGGCACGGCGAGCTATTACCGTAAATTTTTAAACAGTTTTGCGGATGCCTCAAGATCCTTACGTAAATCCGAAAGAAATTACACTAACATTGAACGCGAAGCGTTGGCGATTATTTTTGCGATGAAAAGATTTCAAGAATATCTTATCGGAAATTAATTTACAATCATCACCGATCACAAGCCGTTGATTTATATATTTTCCAAAGGTTTAAAAGAAAATTCATCCATCTCGATGAGGTTGCAGAAGTGGAATATTGCAATGGGAGCTTACGATTTCGAAATACGACATAGAGCGGGTAAACACAACACGGTGCCAGATTGTTTGTCCAGATTGCCATTAACACCTTCAGTAGAAGAAATACACATTATGGATGATATAAAAGAAAATAATGATTTATGGGACGTACCAATTAACTTTAAAATGATCGAAAAAGAAACTTCTAACGAGAGAGAATTAATGAAAATAATGAACGACATTAGAAACGGTGACACGATAAAAAATAAATCATATAACAATATGGTGACGGAATTATGTATTATGGGAAATTGTCTATTTAAAGAAAATAAAATCATCGTACCTAAAGTTTTAAGAAATTCAATGCTACAACATTTACACGAAGGACACTTGGGTGCTGGCAAAACCAAACATTTAGCTAAAGAATACCTTTGGTGGCCTGGAATTAACAATGATATTGATAACGAAGTAAAAGAATGCAAATCATGTAACATTTGGGCCGATAATCCTATTAACACAGAGCATCCTTGGATGTTAACGACGAAGCCATTCAAAAGAATACACATTGATTACGCTGGGCCATTTTTTAACAAGTACTGGTTGCTTATAGTAAATGCGTACAGCAAGTTTCCTATAATCGCGCCGGTGAAATTAATAGCCTCGGAATTTACAATAAAAGAATTGATGAAAACAATTAGCTTATTTGGTTTTCCAGAACAAATAGTTTCTGATAATGGCTCAAATTTTACAAGTCAACTGTTCAAAAAATTTTGTAGAGACCATGATATACATCACTTTCAGACTTCAGCTCACCATCAACAGTCAAACGGGCAAGTTGAAAGGATGGTAAGAACCTTTAAATCACATATGAAGAAGTGCATGGAACAAAATAACGTGGACATAGATATCGCTTTGGAGAAATTTTTGTTCAACTACAGAAACATGTCAAACAGTACGACTGGCACCCCACCAAGAAAACTCATGTTCAATCATGATATGAAAACAAATTGGGATTTATTAAAATATAAGAAAGACGACGACAACACTTCGTTCATAGCTTTACCAAAAAATAGAACGGTGAATATTGGAGAAAAAATTTGGTATAGAAATTTTGGAGTAAACAAGTGGGATGAAGGCGTTATAATAAAAAAATAAAGTAACATGTTATTTCAATTCAAACTAAAAATGGTATATTAAGGAGGCACTTAGACCAACTTAAGAAAAGATTTACCACTGAGAAGTATTAATTCATGACCCAAATACTTTATTAACGATTACATTTTACAAGGAGAGAAATGTTACTCAACAAGATAAAGATTGTACAGCCGACATTACGAGGCCTAGCCGGAATAGAACATTACCCGCACGATATCAAGATTATATTTTGAACATAAAATATTCACATATAAGAAGAATTTGAGCGGAGTTTGTTTTTTAAGGGGTGAAATGTTGTGATGTACAAATTGATCTATTAATTTATCGCGATCTGTTAAATAAATTATTGATTTTTTTTTATTCTTTATATTATATTAACTTTAACCTCGCGGACTCGTTTTATAAAATTAACTCAATAATTCGACATAAATTACTTGATAGATTTCGTAAACTATATAAACTTAGAAAATTATTGTACTTATCAGTTTTAAATATATTTTAAAATAAAATTATTAAATAAAATTAAGTATCTTATTTTCTCATTTTTTGGCAACCTTAATAACCAGGAGCCAAAAATAAACAGGTTGAACCAATGTCGTATCTAGGATTTTCCTATAGGAATGGGATCTTATTTTCTTCGTAAAATCTTGTATTCATTTCTTTATTTCTTTCCGCCCTATTTTAAATATATTGACACAAATTCCACCACCATAAAAAAGATATTTTAACCCAGAACTTCATTTTATGCAATTAATAAAATAAAACCAATAATTATACAAAATTAGATTGATATGAAGTATTGGGAAAATGTACAATTATGGAATTTAAGTTGCCCAAATCTCCTGAAAAGATAAGGGAGATAACAAGTGGTAATCAGCTAAATGTTCCATACATAATCAAGTAGAATAACTTATACGAAAGTATGACACGTTTAAAATATACATCGCATTTAATTTATTATTAGAAACAATTGATTGTTTCATTATTAAAAAAGCGGTTGTTTTTATTGAGGAAGGACAAATTACAAGAGCAGCATAGTGCCACTATTTGTGGTTAAAGGGAACTTAGGTAAACTTAAAAATATAAGGTTTCAATATTGTCTGTCTGTATTAAAAATTGAAGATGGTATGGGCAAATGATTTGGGAAATTTTTTCCCATGATGTTGAATATAACGAGGCTTTTGCATCATTATCACATCTCTATTTTGAGAACTTATGAATTGTAGGATGATAAAAAAATTACTTTCAAAATATAATATAAAAGAACACCTAAATGTAGACCAGTTTTATAATCAAGCTCAAACTATAACACCAAACGTTTAAAATCTAATTCAGAAAATGATTATTTCTTTTGATGAAACAAATATTGCTGAGTTCTATAATATAAATAACATTGAGCTGGAGGTTTTAATTATAGTAAGGATACTGGAAATTAGTGTTGTTAAACGGCTAGTTTTGAGCCTATTTTTAAAAACGGCTAACTCATTTTTTTATCCAGAAAAATATTATGCAAGCCTGAAAATTTTGCTAGAAAGAGCAAAGGTCTAGACATATAGTATCGAAATTTCGAGGTTTAGTCAATATTTTTCTGGCGAAAATATTGAGTTAGCCGTTTTTAAAAATCGAACATTACTGGAAATACATTAGAAATGCTTAATTATTATCCTTCCATTATTTTTTCAAAAATATGATACTCAATATCTTAATCAGCTCCAGTTGAAAGGTTATTTAGTTTTGGAATACGCCAAAACGTCAAAGGCTTAATGATACATCAATTGATTGATTATCTTAATAAATAATGATATGATTTAATCTATTAAAAATATTCTTTTGCAAATTAATATTTTAATTCACCTTAAAAATAATAATCTTCCTTTCACTGAATATACTATGAATGAGCTAAAACAATGTGTTACATATATCGGGCTAAAACTATTAATAAAATGCCAGATTATTAAACTCGCCATTGAATATTTTATTAATTATTGCAAATATTCATTCATATAATATACTTATGTTATGTTCTTCACCAATAAACAATAAAATTGTTTATAAACTATTATAAATTGGTTATGGTTATTTTATAAAAGTATCTTCTAATTAAGATTCTCTCATTTGGCAAAAGATACAGTTTATAAGATACCAGTATCTCAATATATAAGATCCATTTTTTTTATATAAAGAATATATTTATATTTTTTTTCGGAGCAACTCTGTTCAACGATAGCTCCATTAAAAAATATAGATATGGTGCACCGTTGGAAATTGACTGTGTTAAATTTCAACTGATGTCATTTTACCAAGGACAATCATTTCACAACAGTCGTAACTGTTGTAAAATGACTGCGGTCATAAATTTATCGCTTCAAAAACATTGGCGGTCATTTTTTTATGGAAATAAATGTTTTGGGATTAAAAGGAATGGGATTAATTATATTATACTGCTAAAAATTAATTACTCGCTTCAAAAGCATAGCAGCCATATTTTCTTTGAAAATCAGTGTTTGAAAATAATTAAAATTATTGTTATTAATATAACTGCTTAAATATTAATTACTTACTTCAAAAATATTGTGGACCATTTTTTCTATGTAAATTGATGTCTTAAAAAAATTGGGATAAAAATTATTATGATTTTTAATATTTTCCACTTAAAAACTTAATAGAATATTATCGGAATTAAAACTACTGCAATTAATGACTGCTAATAATATTAATTTCTCGCTTCTTAAAAATTAGAAGTCAAAAATAATATTTGAAAACCCAGGATCTACATGAGAGGTGGGAGTAGGAACA